GGCGTTCGTATTACTTGTCGGATAGAATTTGCAGCATGTCGCTGTATTTCCATTATAATGCATGAATATACCGTGTCGTTCTTGGCGCAAGGAGTATCAACCTCGATCGTGGTCAAGATCTTCAAGGACATGGCAGATCATGGTGATGACATTGGTGCCTGTCAAGAATATGAGGACATTCGGGCACGTAGTTTCGGTCTCTCGGATTGCATATACGTTCCGTTATATGTCTCCTTATAAGGCATGTTGACGTGGTCTGCCGGCCGCATGTTGCAACGTATCATGTTTGTGCAGTTTAATCGGATGCATCAATACCGAGCGATTACGAATACGGCTGGGCACAGGATCGCGCCGTCTGCAACCACGAATGCGAGACGTGACGTATTCGGCAGCTCGTGGCAGTGAACCATTCCACGACTAATGCAACCAGAAAAAGAGATGAGAAAAAGATGAAGAAAACAATCCACCAAAGGGAAAAGGGGAGGGAAGATTTGAGTTGACCCTTCGAATCATCCAGATCGCCATTTTGTTTACATAGTCTGGTTGGCCGTCAGTAAGCTTTTGGCGTATAGTCGCGCCAGTGTGTTTCAATTGGTGACAAAAGGACGGTTATCAAAGTGGCACAGCAGGTTATGGACAAGACTCCGGCGGCTGAATGATCTCGATTCTTGGCCTCCGCTACTTGTCTACTAGATGCTGCAGCTGGGTAATGATGCAAATCCTATTGGATGCCTATGCCGAAAATGTCTGAGTATTTTCTTGCGGATTCATAATTCGCTTGCTACTGACCTTCAGGGGCACACTTTCGCTTTGATGCACTAACCGTCTTTTTAATTAACGTCTGTTTGATATGTGGCATCCTAGGCCCCAGCAAATGAGAAGCGTTTAATGCATCTTTGACAGGCTCTAACCTACCTGGTTGGGCCGTGCCCTCTGTTAAAGATCGTGCTCGCATGGAGATAGGATCGTATTCGTAACCTTATAGCCGGGTCGTGATTCGTCCATGCATCGCCCAGTGTATGGAGCAAGAAATCTGCCAAGGTATTATCGCTCATTTTCTCAGCAGCGGCGGCCACCACCACATTCGGAGTAGTTTACCCATACTAGGCCATGGTTAAATCATGCTAATTGTGGTGGTGGAAGAGATTCCCAAAGCGCTAGACACTGGAATCTAATCTTCCAAGGTTCCCTAGCGGTAGATCAGCTTGCTCAGCACACACAGGCCGTCTCGGTGGTCTGCCGGAGGCCGGTCTTTTATCCACATGTAGGCCTGCAAATTCCAGGGTCGTATTAGTCTGAAGACAATATAACCTGCTATGAATCCGTCCCTACATGATGACTGCTGTCCTGGTTACCCTCGGACGACAAAGATCATCACAGCCCTACACAGGCTTTGCTCATTCAGTAGTTCCGACATGTCGATCTCTGCCGGCTTAGACGCCCTGCGCGATGCGCTGCCAGAGGACCTTCCGCTGTCCATTGTGGGCATTATCGCCACGGTCCTTATCGGCGTAGTATACTCTTACATATCCCAGGAGAGGCCTCTGGCAGGATTCCCCCTGGCCACGGTGGAAGGAAAGGGTCCAAAGAAGAGTTGGCTGTTCCACGGAAGACAACTCGTGGCCGAGGGAGTCAAAAAGGTATGAACAAAAGCAACATGATGCTAGTCACGGATCAGAGAAACTCACAAAGAACTACCAGTACTCTGGCGCCTTCCAGGTCATGAGTGGAACTGGTCCCAAGATTGTCCTCCCAAACAGGTTCGCCGATGAACTTCGCAACAACCCGCACCTGAACTTCAACAAGGCGTTCGCCAAGGATTTCTTTACCAATTATCCGGGTTTTGAACCCTTTGCCCAAGGGCTGCAAGATGACACGCTCATTCAAGAGACTGTTCGGGTCAAGCTCACTCAGTCCTTGGGTTTGATCACTGACGATTTAGTCGATGAGACGACTGCATCGCTCCACGACATTTACGGCGAAAGTGGAGAGTGGAAGTCTCTGGTTCTGAAGGATACGGTTCTCCATCTGGTGGCCCGTCTGTCTTCTCGCGTCTTTCTCGGCAAGGACTTGTCACGCAATGAGAGATGGCTCGAAATTGCCAAGAACTATACTGTCGACGGCTTCACCGCATCATTCCTGCTGAGATTGGTCCCCAGCATCCTGCGACCGTTCGCTTACTGGCTGATCCCACAATGCCGATCATGTCGACGTGCCGTCAGAGATGCGCACAAGATCATTGACCCAGAGGTCGAGCGTCGAGTCAAGGCCGTTGACGAGGCACTCGCACGAGGCGAGAAACCCAAGAAGACGGCTGACGCCATCGGCTGGATTCACGAAGTCTCTCGGGGTCGCAGAATCGACTATGTCAGCGCGCAGCTATCACTCACTCTCGCCGCGATCCACACGACTACTGAAACGACAACGCAAGCCGTCTTCGACCTCTGCGAGCACCCCGAGGTCATTGAGAAATTGCGAGGGGAGATTATCGAGGTCGTGGGCGAGCACGGCTGGGCCAAGACGAGTCTGTACAAACTCCGACTCATGGACAGTTTCCTCAAGGAGAGCCAGCGCGTGCGGCCCATGGCTGCGACCTCGATGAACCGCTTCGTCGAGCAAGAGGTCACGCTGTCGGACGGCACGGTGCTCCCGCGGGGCAGCCGCATCAACGTCATGACCAACTTCATGGACCCCAAGGTGTACGCCGCGCCCGAGGAGTTTGACCCGGCGCGCTTCCTCCGGCTGCGCGAGCAGCCCGGCAGCGAGAATGCCTGGCAGTTTGTCACGACGAACCCGGAGCACATGCTCTTTGGCCACGGCCAGCACGCCTGTCCCGGCCGCTTCTTTGCCGCCAACGAGGTCAAGATTGCCCTCTGCCACATGCTGCTCAAGTACGACTGGCGCTTGGTCCCCGGTGAGACGCGTCCCCAGGAGATGGTCTTTGAGTCCACCATTGGCTGCAGCACGGATGGAAAGGTGGAATTCAGGAGGCGCCAGGAGGAGATCAACCTCGATGTGCCTTTGTAAATGTATTTGATTTTTTTTTTCAGATGAACAGTAAATAAATGGATTACTCCATCAACGCTTGCCGTTAGTAGTATAATGTCTTCCTGATACATCGTCCTTGCTTCTATCACCGGGTCAATAACATGAAGATTCAAGCATGATTGTGGCATATGATATCATTGCACCTATTCATCTAGCCACTGGACCCCCTGGCGCTTATGCAAGGGGTTTAACATATCGTCGATCCCAAAAATGGTTGCTTGAGGTGTGCATTTTTGGGAGAGCTACCTTCTGTCCCTAAATATCATCTACGAAATTCAGAACAGCCTATCAAACAATATTAAGCAGTAGTCAAAAGTAGGAGGAGAGTGACGTATCAACTCTCACTCGATTTGGAACAAGGGTTTGCCAGTAATATAGTTGATGGGTGAGTATATTCTCAAATTTAGTAGCTTGGATCTTTATACTGTTGCAAGACAACTTCCAATTTCTTCGGATGAGGTTGTTGGCATGTATTATTCTACCCCCATTTATTCTTGTCTTATCCACAGCATTCAGAGGGAAATCAAGCAAGATCACTTTCAATTTGGTTCATGCTCCCATGGAGATAATATCGTACAGCTTCAAAACTTGCTAGTCATGTTGGTATCTTCTTCCCCGTAACAATATACTTACCAGATATATAGTCGTTGAGAATATCCGATTAATCATATTGTGGGCAGTCTTGTGCGGAACAATATCAAAATCAGCACGAAGTGGTCTATCCGGATTTCTCACTGCTCACAATTGAAGAAATCGACAGCAACTTGAAGTCTGCTTTTTTAATAGTCAATCCCGAACCATTTTTGACTCTATGCAATATTTTTAAACAGAGAAAAATAGAATGATTTCACTACTGCTCTGAGAAATGGTATTATTTCATCATGGTAAACATGATGCAACTTGGAGCATATGATACACCCTACAGTTCACCAATATTGTCTCTGGCGGTTATTCTTGTGGCTTACATAAGGCTGCACCGGATGGCGACACGGCGGCGCTGCCAATGACGGAGCTATGCAGTTCCCCAAATGGTTTAAACATGACGTCTGACAAGTGTCTCGCTCCGCACGCAGCTTGTATCTGCCCCCCTTCCATGAATCACCATAGCTCAATATCTGCCCTCATGAACTACAATGTGCCTAGTGACAGCCACCATGATTCGCTCACGGAGTTTGGAGGATTCCCACGCGCGAGACATCACATCACGATGACATTCAACGGCATCATGTACACACTCTGGTATAAGATGAATGCCATTGCCCTATTGATCAGAATGCCGTCATAAAGGTGCATCATACGGTGTCGTCTGCAGTACCATGCGATCGACATTGCTTTGGGTGAAACAGCAATTACCATCACAGGTCTTAAGGTCGAGATATTCGTCTATAGCAATAGCAGTTGCACGAGCACCAGCGGCAACAAGAGTCACCCGCCTGCAGCCACTTGTACACTGCTCCAAAATGACCACTACGACCGCAACTTCGACCGCCGACAGCGGCAAGATCAACTTCCCTACGGACGCGTCGCTACCCGGCGAACACTTTGAGATCCGGCAAACGCATCCGACCGGCGACTATACGCCGGACCCGTCCAAGTCACTCCCCCTTTCGCCGACCCGACAGGCTCTAGTCGACGACATCATTGCACTATATGAGATGAAGCCAACGGTCGAGCGAGTCAAGCGCTATACACCCGACTGCGTATACAATGACCAGTTTGTCTATGCCAATGACCGGTACAAGATGGCTGGTCAATGGTTCGCGCTGCCCAAGTTGTTCAAGGGCGCCAAGAGCCACGGGTACCAAGTTGTCACCAATGACCGTGACCTGATTCAGTTCCGACATGAAGAGGTCAGTCCAAGTCGTGCCATCCTAGGTCTCTAAAGACCCTCCATCCCCATTCTGCCCCACACATATGCGGTCATGCCCGTCTCTTTGTTTCCCGGTTGTACTGTTTTGGTGCCGCAAGAATTTTCTTCGTCTCGGGGTCTCGATTCTCTTATTTACTGGGTCCTAACACATCAGCTACAGGAGTGGACATTCAAGATCATCCCCAAGACGGCCGTGGTCAACGCGCTGGTGAGCCTGTCGCTGGACCCGGCGACGGTCGACTCGGACTTTATCCGGGTCAAGTACCACAAGGATCAGGCCAACGACAAGGACTACTCCAACGAAGGGCTGGGCGCATCATTCAAAAAGTGGCAGGCGGACAATGTGGCAAAGTACATGGACAGCCCGGAGGTCGCGGCCTTTGAGGCGGACCGGGACGCCGGGAAGGAGCCGCGGCGCAAGTACGGACGTGGAGACGCGCAAGGCGATGCGCCCGTGAAGAATACGTAGGCAGGGTGGATGATGGATGGTCCTTTTACATCCTTTCGGCGTCTTGAACCTTCCTCCTTGCCCAACAGGCTGTAGGCCGTCAACAAAACAGACTAATTAATGCCACTTTGGCTACTCAAATACGATTTGACTCTGAGCCAAAAGTAGGGATCGGCATGCAAATGCCATGCAATACATCGATGCGTTTACTATTTCTGGGCGGATATATTTCATGCTTGACTGCTCGGCTCGTCCGCTATGCCCTATGGATGGGTGGAGTTCTGAGAGAGAGAGAGAGAAAGAGAGAGAGGCATGAACCTTGACGACGAACGGTCATGACAGGCGCTTTGCATGAATGGGCTCCAGCTTTCCAAAGTCGGGATTCCCCAGACACGGGAACGAGAAGATCTCGGGCGATGCTTACTACTACTTAGGCTTCCGTGGGCGGCGTCGGCCATTTACAACAAAAAAGACAAGCAACAGCTGGACCCCTATTTTCTTCATCCATGGGCGAGGCCATCATGTAGGTCGAGGTAAGGCGGGAAAGAGGGAGAAGAAGAAAAACAGAGAAAAGCAGCCTGACACAGCCTATCAGTGGACAGACGGCACAACGGGCATCAACCACGTTATGACAAGGCCGAGCATAAACAAATGGAGATCTTTTGAGAATAAAGTTTTCCCTTCTTCTATTTTTTCGCCCCCTTTCCCAGCCCAGCCCCTTCTTCCACATGGCAATCCAACGAACAAAGTGGGCTAGGAACAATTGATGAACCATGTGGAGTTTTTGTGTGGTGTTCTAACGAGCTCCATTGGCACAAGAGGGGACAGGGGAAAAAAAAGTTTACTGTACGGTAGTGAATGTATCAAAACGAATCTTAAAGAAATGCCTGCGAATTTTCTTTTCTCGACAGAGATCCAGAAGACCAGAGTCGTAGACGTTCTGGATCCTGCCCCCCCAACCCAATCCTGGCTCGAACGAGGCTTCGCTGACTTTTTTCTTTCGACACTCGTGGGGCGCTTTATCTTTTGCGTACGGGCTTTTATATCCACTTGTTGCGATTTCGACATACGTAGTACAATTTCCGAAACACACGCAGCCCTTGAAGCCGCGTTTGCGAATGAATCCCTTTGGTATCGTAGTCAACTTGTATGTCCAACTTTTGATTTGAACTTGACAATGTTCCCAGACTTCAGTTTGCTCATTTGGTCTCGCGGCTTGTTGGACAAAAACCCGGGTTAGACGTGATCATTTGAGCCCCTCATAATTGTCAACATGTCGAATGTACTGTCCGTCGGGAAGGGATTCTTCTTAAACACGATCATTTCTTGATCAAAAGGAGCAAAGAGAAGAGACGATGACCGCCGTCTACTCCTGGTTCGCGCCTCGCAATTTCGACCTGGGTAACGGCGCGGCGGGCTGCGAAGCTGCTTGCTGGCTTGCAGGCGGAGCTGCTACTACAGAGTACACACTAATTACTTACCTAGGAGGGTCGTTGCAGTAATACCAAGGTGGTGCCTGAATGTAGCGAGTGGTGTGCTGGGTCTACCGCGTAGTAGCGTCCATAGTGCATAGCAAGACAGCCCACAGCCCTTTTGCCAAGACCTGGGGGTCATCTTTGACGGGTGGGTTATGAATTGGTTGACAGTCGTCCAAAAGATTTACAGATGAATGCGAAAGAAACTTGAGATGCCGGTAATTTGTATCATAATCCAATGAAGGCCATGGCATTCATAATGGGAAAATCACAGGAGAGCAGCATGGAATTGGTTTTATCAAGACTCATCTCGAATTTCATGGTCCCTTGCGGTTATTACGGGGGGTGAGCTGTGATTTGGGAGCCGCAAATGCCCAATTCCTACCGATCATGATTTCAATGATCCGTATCGACCAAGAGAGTAATGATTTGTTTGTTTTAGCAGCCAACAATCGACGCATGCCCATGCCTCGGAGGATTTTAGGTTGGACCTTTTCTACACTAACATCTTAATTACCACGAAATGTACGTTGGGCCTTTCTAGCCGAAAGACTCGGGCCTAGACCGTGAGATTGCTTGCGTAGGTCATCGGCCAAGGAAACAAAACAAAAGGAGTATAGACCGGGGGGAAAAGAGGCTCAGAGGGGGGGAGGGTCTGCAAAAGAGAAAGATCGATCATCGGAACAAAACTTGCATGTCGTTTAGTCAAATCGTCGTCGTCGTCGTCTTCTTTATTTTGGCTGCTTATTTTCCCTAGTCTTCGTCGTACGACTCTAGTATTATTTGCTTATGCTGGGGTCAAGGGGGAAGGGGGCTCAACCAACGACGACGACTTGACGACGACATTTATTTCGGGAATACAACTCTTACTACCTTATGCCACACTCCCCCCAGAATGGATCTCGAAGGGGTGTGGTGTGTCCCGTCGCCGGGTGCACCAGTTTAGCGTTGGGCGGACGAGCGCGCGCGCAAATGTGCATTTTGCTGCATCCATTTATTACGGATACAGCGAGATGGGAATGACCTGGGGGGAGGTTCCAAATCCATTATTTCGTCGTCAGCGATCCACTTCCCACGAGTCGCCTGAATGATCGACGACAAAAAAGCTGGGTATCGCGAAATTCACTTTGCCAGTATTCCGTAGAGCACATGCCTTTTGAACAACCATGGGAAAAGAGCATCAAATTTCTTATAATTCTCCCCTGTGTATTATAATGCCTATGGGGGGCCATCCGTCTTGGAAAACTTCTTGGCCAGCTCGTGTTTTACTATTCCCGATTACGAGGCCCAGTTTAAATTTATTCTAACTTGCCTGTCTTTTGTGTATATCGTACCGTATGTACGTACATGTTTAGCCCGTGACGGATATATGGCCAGCAAACGGACGGGGTGCGTGCTTATTTAGATTAATGCAGCTCCCCTCCATTCTCCCCAAAGTGAGTCGAGACTCGAGACACTCCAGGGTAGAATAAACGACGCGGCTTGAGGCTGTGCAACTCTATGTAGCCTTGCAAGTGGTTCCGCGTACGTCAGTTTCCTGCTGCTTAACGGGAGAAAAGCTGAAAGGTTTATTTTCTGGGCAATTAATAACACGAAAACAAGTCGACAGGGGAAAAAAGAAACACATCAACTTTCAATGCCGAGACTTGCGTTGCATTCAGTGCTTGTCGGCGCTCACGGCGCAATGCCACCGGCGGAGAAATCCTGGTTGTGGCCGAACCTACGGTACGGACCTCGGAAGTCTGGCAACCTGGGGGTGCACATGGCTGCTTCCGTAATGTATTGTGTCGTATGCAGGCAGTGTGTAGATAGAGATGATGACCATGAATGGTATCTTGTCTAGATGCTGTCTTGTTGACCATATTACACTAGATTGCATCCTAGGCTGTTAAGCCAGTGGCTGTCGTCAGGGCGATCCGCGGCACCTGGGGAACTAGTCTGCGATCATTTTCGAACCGTTTCGATGCTATCTTTGCTGGTTGTCACAGACGCCGGTACTTTAGTTACCAGAGTCCTATGGTCACACAGCCGGGCGATCCGCAAAGAAAATGCTTCTTGGGCCCATTCTCAACGCCGCAGACGCCGGTTGCAGAACGTGCGTCGCTGGTTCATCTGCAGGAAAAAAAAATACGAGGAGCTGGAGGCCGCCATAATCCTCAAGGGAAGAGGATGGAAGAGATAAAAGTATTACAAGAAAATGGAGGATCCTTGGGAGGTTGTGTAGTATTGGAGAGATCTCTGATGGTGGTGAACATAATCTCGTATAACCTAAGGGGGGGTTTCTTTGTTGGCCCGACGGGAGTTTACAGAATGATGACAAGAAGAGACAAGATACAGCAAACAAACCTCCCACATCCACCAAGAACATCGACTGATTGAGACGAAGCAGTTTTTGATGCCATTCACATTTTCCATACAACACCAGATTGCCGTCCAATCCCAAATCGGGTTGGTGGTGGGACTTTCTTGGACAAGACTCGCTCATCCTTCCCCCCCTGGCAATGGGCAGGGTTTGGCACTCTGTTTCTTGTTTCAAAAACGGGCTTGGCAAGCTGGTCTCGCGTCTGCAATTGAGTGCGTGCACTCTAGGTCTCATCAATGTCAATCACGGTGCTTACTAGGCCTGCCAGCTACGGACTGGCCTTCCGCCGGAGGAAATTGTGTGTGAACATCAAACAAAGCCCCAAGGGTCTGGCGCCCATGAAAGCAAGCCCATTCCATAATCAGCCATTGTGGAAAGGAAGCCGACGACAACTTGAAAAGGGCTGCCCAATAGTTGCGACAATGTGCGACTTCTTTATTATGGCAGGTAATACGTATACATTCTTTGCAAGGAAAGAAGAATACCACGGACTTCTTTTTCATGTGTTTTGTGCAACATGTCATAATCTGGGTTGGTTTTGTGCAATCTCTCTCTGTAGTACCAGATCATGTTTCTTCCCCTCCCTTCTAACACAGTATGTACGACATGCCACAAATAGCAGATGCTGTCTCAAGATGATACCAAACGACAACGAGTCACGACCACACACGGCAGTTGATTCATCTGAATACGTACACTACAGCTTCTCTTATTGATTGCATTTGTAAAGTAAAAAGAAAAAAGATGATGAGCAAGTCCTTCCTTCCCTTCAGCTTGCGACGCTCGAGCAAGATTTGATAAAGTCTACCATGTAGAGATTGTAGAATTCTGTGCAAGCGGGTGCTGCCGCTTTGAAAAAAAAAAAAGCTGGTATCTAATTACATAGTACACAGTAGGTAGCCCACTACAGATACGAACGTCCACGAGTATCAGACGTGCACAGTGAAGTTGCCGCACTGCCGAGCAAATAGAGTCGTGATCAGTCAACTTGGCACCAGAGTGGGCAGTCTAGGCATTGAAACTGCGATATCCGGCTGGTCACGTCTCCTAGCAGCCAAGTCTACTCGCAACAGCGATCGCTGCCATACACAGAAGGGTTTGCTTCTCTCGTTGGCTGTAGAATTAAGGTAGCTAAGTAGTAGCGGCTTGTAGCGAGCGAGGGATCTGCAGATGCCTTCTTCTTCACGAGACAGTACAGATGCCGAGGTGTATACAGTACAGTGCTTCTTATCCTGTACATACATATATATATATCACAGGCCAAGCAACCTTTCCCAGGCCGACCTTTGGTGTGTCAAAGAATAATTTCTCCCCAGGAAAGGAATTGTGCAATCCACTCGGTTTGGGCCATGTGGCCTGGCACTCCGTAATATCCCTTGGCTCATTCAAGCAAGTGGTCCCGGGCGATCTTCATGGGCTTGTGCCCTGGTTATGCAGACGACTAAATCCCGCGGCGAGATCACCCCGAGCCTTTTTGTTCAACTTGTGTCGGGGTTGTGCAAGGAGGAAATGATGCAAATATCAGGAGGTGCATGTGCCTCTGCTATTTCCACTCCATGGCCCAGGGCGCATTTGCCAATAAGACGGCGCCAGATGAGCGCGTCCAGCGGCAGTTCAATCTCTCATTGGAGTGTCGATAGGATTTGCTAGACCCAAAATGGCAGAAGTGGCTGTCCACTACTGCAAGGGACGAGACCGAAAGCAGTAAACACGAGCTGTAAGCATCGGGGCGTAGCGTGACACGGTGCCTGAAAGTGGTACGTAGCCCTTACATTAGCATCGATTGTCCATGGACAGTGTTATGTAGGGACGGGAGCCTATTCCTCATCCTGATTAGAGTAGTGTATGTATATTGCATAAGTGGTAACATAACGCAGCATTAATGATAGCGGTACTCTGTAGTACCAAGATACACAGCAGTTCAGCCTTGAAGTCGTGACAATATGACACAGTCAGAAGGAAGGGTTTTGTTTTTCCTGCAGGTCTGACCCCGTGCTTCGAGGTACTAGATTTGCCGTTGCAATAAGACCTGTCCCTGCCCGCCCACCGATTGCTCAGAGGCAAATCCGCGGCGGATATTGGGGCCATCACTACTGTGCTGAAGGCTGTGTAGCCGACTCATCGAACACTGATATTGCAGCTCATGTGGTCTCCGTGGTCAGTACGACCCCAGGAGATAAAATATGTATGCGCACAAAGCCGTTGTGGTGTCCGAGCATTTGGGAAGAAAAGAGATGTGTGCGACGATCCTGGTCCGGTGTAATCTCCCAGGGGTCATCGCTTGCGCTGCGCTGTCCAGTCACATCGCTCCACTGCCGGGACCAGAGGCGATCCACCCGCACCTGAATTGGATTGCCCTAGGCGCTATTTTGCTTTTTGTTTTTTTTTTTCACTCTTTCTCTTTCTACTGTGTAATCGCTCGATGTTGATGGCAAAAGAAGCGAGTGGTATGGTTATTAGTTGGCTGGTAACAACAGTGCTTTTAGGTGCTTAGGGGGGGAAGTTCCGCTTGATGAGACTACTCCTAGTAGAGGACGCGAATTGCCCCCCCGTCCCATCCACTCCAGAAAATGTGCTGCAGTGCAGTGCAAAAAAAACAAGTGCTAGAGCTCCACTCCAGCTCGGGGGATAGCCCTGTTCCTCATTCGATTAGCAACTGGGGGGCCCGGACCAGTGAAGCGGGTCTGACCATCTCCTCTTCCTGGTCCTGCTCCTCTTGCAGCAATCCAATCCCTCACTCGCCCGTTCGCTCACCCACACCCACATCCACACCCACACCCCATCCCATCCAACCCAACCCATTCAACCCATCCATCTCCTGTCCGTCCGCCTGCTTGTCTCTCTTCTCCCTCCCTCCCGACTTTCCTTCACGGGCCTCGCTGCATCTCTGACAGACAAGCAAAACCAACCCCAATCCCAGGTCCCCTCCCCTCGCTCTTTTCGGGCATCCACTCATTCACTACCTACCTCGTCTGATTTCATCTGACCTGTCTCTCTTTTCTGCGTTCTTTTGATTCCCTCCTCCCTATTCACCTGACTGTACTCGACTAAAACCTACAGTCTTGACAAATCAACTCCAAAAGACGTGTGCTGTCGTACATCATTACCGGCGCCCGCTCGACAAGACTTCGCCTCAACCTCGTCGACTCATACAGACTACACGCGACCAGGAAGGCAAACACACGGTGGTTGTTATTGACGCCAAAGGCACAGTCCATCGAAAACTCACAGGACAAGGAAGAGCAAACAAGGGCGATTCCCGGGCACCAGACCTACAGCACAACATTGTTCGCCCTCGGCTCTTTGTTCTTATTGCTCCATTCTCTACCGCCAGTGTTGGAAAGGGGCCAAGCAGAAAGAGTCTCAATAGACCAAACGTCACATCCTCCGACTAACCAAGAACGAGACCCGACGTCAAAGAATATCGAGCCTCATTCATAATTACGACGACCTGCACCACCTTAAGGGCTTCGATCTCGATACACGTTCGACGACGATACGCCCCGGATGCAGATTTGAATCCTTTCCCACCAGTCAAGAAAGGTTGAAGCATCAAGACTCCCCAGCGGAGAGCGAATACTCTCTTTTCGACCTCGTTTTTTTTCTAAATTCCACTTGAGTCGTTGACCGGTTCGGCGGAATTATTCCACTCGTTCTTTGCAATTTCATCGTTTGCACCACTTTCACAATATACAACAAAATGTCTTTAAGATTCTTCGCCCTCACTGGCCTGCTGGCCTTGACAAATGTCGTCCGCGCGACCGAGGAAGTAGCAGCCGAAGACCCAGTTAAGGGTACAGATACCGTCCACGGATGCTACAGCTATGTCGACAACCTCACCTTCAACAGCACAAATGAATTCAACACCCAAGGTCTATGCAGCACCGCCTGCCGCGGCATGAGCAAAGCTGTAGGCGCATCCTACTCGTCGGATTGCTACTGTGGTGACGAGTACCCTCCTCTCAACACCCTTCTTGACGACAGCGAATGCACTGAGCCCTGCCCCGGATTTGATACAGAAGCCTGTGGTGGAATCAACGCCTTCACTGTTTACAACACAGGTGAAAAGGTCAGCGTTGCCAGTGCGGACAACATTACCGAATCGAGCTCCTCCTCTTCCGCATCCTCTACTACTTCCCAGGCAGTCATGACCAGTGCGGGTACGTCAGCATTCTCCTTGAATTCGCCGTTTTCATACTGACCACCATTGCAGGCATCGTTATTACTGTGACCCCGACATCAGATTCATCAAGCAGCTCTGATAACTCATCATCAAAGACTGTGGGCATCGCTGTGGGTAGTGTAGTTGGTGTACTTGGTGTTGCTGCGATTGCTGGCGCTCTGATCTTCATCACCCGACGCCGACGAAACCGCGAGATTGAGGAGGAACACCGCCGTAACGCTGCAGTCAACGCCTTTATCTCTGGAGGAAAGCCCCCTTCAAGCAGTGGTGGAATGTCCATTTCCGACCAACGCCTCGACCCCGTTATGGCTCAAAGGAGGATGAGCAGTGGCAGTATTGCCGACGAAGCAGACTACTCGCGTAGGATTCTAAGGGTGAGTAATCTGGTTTTGAGCCAGCTGATGAATGGCCTGATGAGAGTCAACACGAACTAACAATATTCAGGTCACCAATGCATGATTGACATCCAATGGCACGATCGAGGCAGCAGATTACGACGAACGACGACTTCGCTTGTATCAATTTTATTATTTTCAGTTCTTGTTCCACTTGCATTCTCGACGGCGTTCATGGTGGTCACCCCCTTGTCATCAAATGATCGATCATACCCGACGATACTAAGGCGTTTTATTTTGCTTTGGTGCAGGGATTTTTCAGCGTATCTGCGGTGGTCACGACATGGGATGCGTGGCTTCCGACAGCTCTACATAATGCTGGCTCTCCCCTGCACTGTCCTCTCCTTTCTAGATTCTGCAGTGGCCCAAATATCCGAAGCGGAACGCCGAAAATCAAGGACATGGCTACGACACGTCTCCTCGGGAGACACGCAATGGCCGACGTCCAGGGGTGCTTGTTAGAAGTGGTTAAAACAGCGAGCGAGCGAGCGATCTGCAAACCTGGTCCCCCAGGGGAAGATGTTTGCAGTTGCGATTGAAGCCATCCAAAGGGGCCAAACAAATGGTCGTATTTCCTCAATATCATACCCGAGGAGGTGTGGATGAGCGGCATGAGTAGGCCCTCGACTCCACGGAAGGATATTATAAGTGATAGACGGTGGTACTGGCAAAGGCAACAAATGAAGGGACTCTGCTGTATATTATTCAGATAGTCCTTCTATAATGGACGACTTGTTCATGATCTTGTCTTGCCGTATACCACGATTTATCTGACTGATGACGTGAATGAGACTAATCTACGCACCCTCCGAGTGCGTTCACAAGTAAGTATTCTACTTGCATCTTGTGAAGAATAGCGACGGCTTGATTGACCCCTACCATCTTGGTCTGCCTCGTCAAGTAATAATTGTGTCCAATATGCGTTCGTACATGCCTACCAGGTCTTCTTGTAATGCCACAAACATAGTTTCTTGGTTGTAACCCGCCAAGCTGGAACCGAGATACGATCGCCGTCCTGTTCAACGTGCCACACCACACCACAACATTAGTTGCAACGAAGGGTGTTACCATTGTGCACAATGGTTGTGTGATGGTCCCGAGTTCCCCAGATTTGGTCCCTGACTGCCGATGCGCAGTGACGTGAAGATCGGCCGTCCCTGAAACGGGCGTTTATGCGACTGACTTAGCGCTGGAGGCCGTGTCGCACGTAGTGTGCATGTCAGCAAACGGACTCGGCCACTGCCATTTTATGGGAGGCAAGCGATGGTGCCGCAGCGGATAGACTTGATGATCGTAATCAGGGACAGTGGCGGCGTTTATGCCAACCAGGTCTGCACGCAAAAACCAGAGGTCGGCATTTGTACCTGAATACTGTCTAATGTTCCGACATTATTCTGCTTGTACATGTTTTTGAGGCATATGAAGCAACCGACGTGCCACCACATGCAAGGCAAACAAGTGAGCGCGCAGCTGCCACTAGTTCTGACAGCTGCCAGTCTTTCTGCTTCTAGCGCACGGATCATACGAGGTAGCTTGCGCGCCAGTGCCCAGAGAGAGCTTCGACGTCGCGTTTGTGGATTTTTTGTGTACAAAGCAGCTACCTGGCAGCCTGCCAAAACTACCATCACCAAACACTCTTCCCGAGTTGCAAGCAGTCGGCAGCCCACGCATATCCCAAGGACGATGCGGTAACTTGATCATCGGTCACCAGCCTCAATCTGCCCATGATCTAGCTGTGGCATCGAATTACTGTTGAGGACTCGACTACACAAGAGCAGCAGCTCTAACGATGGCTGCCAGTGCTGGGCCTCGCGTTCGGCGCACGGCACAGAATACACAGCACACGTAAGTATTACCGAGGGACTTTCCTTCATGTTGCAATTCGGCTTTGGGTTCTGACTAACTCCGTGCTGGGCAGATACAACTTGAACCGCCGAGTACATGCTGTTCAGACTTACCCTGTGTTGTCACCTCAAGGAGCGACAGTCATACTCTACGGCCACGAGGATGGCGTAACGATCTTATGGCGCGGAGGAAAACGATTCAAGGAGTCCACTTATAGCGAAATAACACACGTGGCACACAACAAACAGAATGGCAATGCTGCGGCTGCGGCTGATGCTGTCATGATCCTAGATTCCGATGAGGACGACACACCATCGGGGCAAAATGCCTTTGTCGACAAGCCAGAGTTTGAAGAAGCTGCCGAAGATGACCAAGGTACTCAATCTCAGATTACCCAAACATTGGACCTGTCCTTGGGCACTTCCGTCACTTGCATCGCGGCTCTGCCCATGACACCATGCTCTGCTGAGGATGCTGCATGGGAAGGAGCTGAAATTCTCAAGGAGAAAATTGTTTTCGTTGTCTCATGTGCCAGTCGTGAGGTCTATTATATCACACTGCCTTTGACCCCGCCTTCACCAAGAAGCAAAGCTCGGGATGATCTCAGGGAAAACCTCCTCGCATCAAAGGCCGGGAATGGTAAATGGGGCGAGACATTGACGCTGCTCAATGGCCAACAAAAGCCAAGCGATGGTCTGGCGATCACGCTTATCAAGCCCAAGGTTTTGTCGGAACGCAGCAAATCCAACGAGCGCTCGAGATCGACTGGAAGAGCAGCTCCACGCGCGGTCGTTGCCGCTCACACTGCAGAAGGCTCTGGCATGTTACGTTTGTGGGATGTACCCCTGGAGAAGCCTGCCAAGGATCGTCCGATAGAGCCTTTTCAGACCGAGATTTTACCCAACCCTCTCAAGGGAATTGCCTTCAACCCTACACACTCCACTCAGTTGCTCTGCAACGCCTCACCCCACGCAGTCCGGATATATGATTATGCTCAAGCCTCAATGGCCCCAGATGACCTGTCAGAGGGCCCCTTTCCTTCACAAGGCTCTTGGCTGATTTCACTCTACCCGCCATTTGCGCGACCCACGGCGTCTAGAAAGGCAATACTAGCCGCCTCGTGGATCGCTCATGGCAGAGCTGTGCTGGTCCTTTTGATGGATGGCCAATGGGGTATCTGGGATATTGACGGTGTCTCGCCCCATGGTCCAGCACTATTTGGCAAGGCGGGGTCAGGCATCAAGGGTGCGGCTCTGACCTCATTCAGCGCTTCAGGCCATATTGAGGGGACAAGCCCCCTCCGCAGCTTCGGATCCCAGAGGGCTTCGGCCGTAAGTAGCGATTTCGTTCCGATGACTCCTCACTCGCGTCGCGAAGCACCAATCAGCGTATCAGGACCTGAGCGCATGTCCACTGTACAGGGTGGAATCCTCGTGACGCCGCTTCCTGCGCGGGCTACTACAACTTCTGATGAAAGTGCCGTGCTGTGGATTGGCGGAGCAGAGCACGTTGTTGTGATACCCGGAGTCCTTAAATTCTGGGAAGCTCAACTGCGCAAGGGTGTTGGTGGTGGTGTCAACCTCTTCAGCGGAGCTCAGCCGACCAGAATGATCAAGCTGACTGATCTCGTTGTCGGCTTGATGGGAGAACGCTGTGTTGGTGTGGGTGCGATTCCCAAGGCGGATACTGGCGAAAGTTCTAACAATGAGGGTCTTCCGATCGAGGTTATCATATCCGGAGAAAGTCGACTTGTTGTGGTGCGCGAAAGCGAGACTGCTGTTGGTACGCGAATTGGAGGCGTTAAGGGAAGCTTCCACAGGAAGCTCAGCCAAGGGGCAAGGAGCACTGGTGCAGTCACTGCTTACCCGCAACCAGCACTGCCTCCGAGCAAGGAGTACAATCTCTCGGTCAGGAAAAGAGGCACTCTCGGACGACCTCCTATCCAGACGGGGCAATCTGCGGATACGGTATTGCCAACAACCGAGACTCCCGACTTTACGCCATCTTCGTTCTCGGGCTTTGATCTTGCAAAGAACCTGAACACTGCTGCCGATGCCATGGAGGTTGACAACCAAGAGGAGCGAGACTTTGAGCAGGAGCTGGAAACGGACATGCTGGGCTTGATGGATATCGAGCAAACTCTCGATTCGATGGAAGACGACAGGGGAAGGGGTCGGAAAAAGGTCAACTTTGAGGTTTAGGAAGACTTTGAAGCCTTGTGATTGCCCCTGCGTCGAGCGATGCGAGGTTGATACTACAAGAAAGAGAAACGAAGCAAATGTATGATACCCGCGCTAACATTGGGAAGCTGTAGGATCCTTCCAGCATGCGAAACCGATTGACATGCTTGTTGAAGACTTTTATGATTGTCATGAACGGTGCTTCCACTCCATTCCTTGTCTGCGGAATTCGTGCCCCTTGTCCTAGGTGGTAAATTTGCCGATATCACACCGCGTTCCCCCTTTCTCTGTTCCAGTGAAGACATTTCCGTGCGGCAAGGTGGAGCACAAGGCGAGATCATTCCTTGCTGCTCTGTAATCCACGCGGTAGATTCATCATAGCCTCCGAGCTACGTGTCCAATAAATGGTCGCTTTTTAGACCGATGCGAGAAGCCACGTTCCTATGGGTGGGTAGGGTAAGAGCTGTCATTCTTTTCTCCTCGCAAGGAGATCAGCAGAAATTTGACCTTTTGTTTCCGGCCCGAACTGCGTGGGTCCTGTCATCTACCTATGTTCCTCATTGTAAAGTACTTCGAGAGGTTGAAAGACTGATCGGGGGAAAAACACTATGGGGTTCTGGTGGGGGGTCCGGAGATGTGGTCGGGTGGTTGGGAATGTGGTACATTTTATTATGTTTGATATTTCAACTGTTTGTTGATTGTTGCTCAAATTGTGATGACTCGAAGATGGTGCATGATTGGCTGATATCTGGATCGAGACTGGAATATGACGAATTTGTTTCAATCCACGCCTTGGCACTGCGCAGTGTATTTAGTAATACCTGTATCATTATAGCTTCTTAAACCCTCATGATGAAAATGCAGCACGCAGTGTTGTCTGTGATTATCATGTCTACCGATGGTCACCGTGTCATTTTTCATGTACCTAGACCTCTGCCCTCCAAAACGAGCCTCTGCATAAAGACTTTGCTCAGACACTCGTCCATGAGATCTGGGTAATTATTGAATACTGAGCCCAACCACGGAGATGAATAAACAATTGCACGCCACAAGTTATGTTCCCATACAGGCTTCACATATGACCTAATTATAACATGATGGGTTGATAAAGTAGCCCTATATTGATGGAACAATCCAATACGTGCCTGAGAATTCTCATATGAAGACAGATCCGCCCCTTTCCAACGATAATCCCCGACGCCGGGGACCATTTATAAGCACCCTGGAACGATTCCTTCCTCCAAGACCATCTCTAAATACCCAGTGCTGGTCTTGCGGCCGAGCGAGGCTGTAAGCCAGACCCCTCCCAATGCTGACGGCACCCGTACGCGGTATTCCCTCCAGCAGGGCCTGCTCAGCTACCAGCTTCTGCAGCTCATGAGGCATCATGGCTACGCCGAGCTTGTGCTGAGCCTTCTCGGCCGCCAGGAGCTCTTTGAGCGCCAGTGTCTCCTCGCGCTCCCGTAGGTACGCATGGACCTCGGACCGGCACCTTTTCAACACCGCAGACGGCGTTGACCCGGACGCGTCCTTGTGGCTGCGCATGAGTACTTTCTCCGGGTCTCCGACGGCTGCCGCTACGAGGCACGCCATCATGTCGTCTTGGGCAGCCAAGGCCTCGCGCGCCACGGTAAAAGGTCTGGGAGTCAGCTCGTGGGGTTGGAGACACGAAGCCGCCACGTGCAGAGGGAGCTGGCCGTGCTGATTAGGCTGATTTACCGGGACGCCGTAGGCGACGAGGAGCTCGACGGCCGCCAGGTGTTGCCAGCGCGCGCAAGCCAGGTGGAGCAAGGAGTCGCTCGTGGTCTCTACCGTCTCTCCCAGGCTGGCGCCGTGGTCCAAGAGCATCTTCACAACGGCCGCCGCCGCGTCTTTGGATGAGTCGAGGTCGTCATTGAGCAGTGTTGTGGACAGCGCCGTGCGGCCGTTCTGGTCCCGCAGCGTGGGATTGGCGCCGCGTCGGAGGAGAAGGGGCACGAGGCCGTAGTGCTTCCTGTTGGCCACGGCGAGGTGCAGCGGCGTCCTCCCCCGGATGTCGGGAGCGTTGATCATGTCGGCGCATGTCGTCTTCTTCCTCTCTAGAAGCTTCCCGTCTTGTAGCAGAAGCTCAAGGCAGGCTTTGGTTTGCTCGAAGAGGGTTTCGTCGTCGGGCTTATGCTCCTCCTCATCCGAGAACCACGACACCTTGACCTTTTGAAAGGCCTCGGATAGTAGCCAGTGAATCGGCAAATTATCTTCACTGTCAGTAGCCGGCAGATCGGGATCATCAGCCATGTTGACCAGAGCGCGCACGGCCTCGACGTTTCGATACCGGCAGGCCAGATGGAGTGGCGTGACGTCGAGCGCGGCCTCGAAGCCCTCGTCCTCGTCCAGGTCGCGGTACGTCCGGACGTATGGGTCCACCCCATGGTACGTTACCAGATTCCAGATCAACCCGGCGTCGGCCCACGGGACGACCAGCGTCATGACCGTGTCCTGGACGTACGGCGGCTCCAGGCCCAGCCGCTCGGCATAGTCCTCCTGCGCCGCGATGCTAACGTTTTCCCACTCGCGCGCCGCGTGTGTGGCCTCGGGATCTACATACAGGTCCAGGAGCAGCCGTATCACTTTGCCCGGCTCCCGACGCATCCTGTTGCTGCTCCAGACGTGCCGCGGCGGTCGGCACAGCGGCTCGCCTAGGCCCGCGGCCACCAACAGCAGCGGCGGGTCTAGATCATTGCACCGTTCCACCTCGGCCTCCTGGTCATGCGTCTGGCCCAGCAACATCTGGACCACGTCCACAAAGCCGTAGCTGCAGGCCTCGCGCAATCGATGGATCTTTGTAAACGGTTGGGTCCGCGGATACTCCCCATCGGTTCCATCTTCGCGCCACTCCCGGTCGCCACCAGACCGCCGGACCTCGTGGTCCAGCAGCTCGGACAGCACAGCCAGGCTGCCGCAGGCCGCGGCGTAGTCGATCGGGTCGGCGAGCGGGGACCATCCGCACTCGGGCTGCCATTTCGGCGGGGACCAACTCAACAACGCCGGGCGCCTGGCGAGAAAGGCGCGGATGCCGTCGGCGTCGTTGCGCTGGATCACCTGGGCCAAGTGGTCCAGCGTGAGCCAGGCCGGGTGGTTCTCTTCGACCCGCGCGCCGGCGACAGTGTATTCTTCTCCTGAGAGCGCCATTGAGGCTTGCTCCCTTGTTTTATGCAAGCGGTTGGAAGCTGTGACGATAAAATTCGACGAGATGATATGATAAGAAAGAAGAAAAAGCGGAGACGCTTAAACGATAGAAACACGAGCCATCTTGATCTTGATAGAGTTGTTTGATCAGCCATTTCAAAGTCATTGGCTGCTGAATGCTTCCACATATGATCACGAACGACTTGTGTTATGTGGGCGCATTTACGCGGCGAGAAGACTGTAGATGAGAAATAGTTGCACCAAAATATCGATCACTCAAAATAGACATAACTTGTCTCTTTATAGACTAATTGTCCCTTGAAACGCTTCTCTATTCCGTCTCCGGAGTTCGTTCCCTTTTGGACTTGCCACTAGAACATAGTGACCCTGTACACAGGCTACACCTGTTGCGAATAGGGAACAAAACATGTTCTTGATCGCTGAAATCGTCGAGCTTGCCAAGTCAAGATCTGCCGCAATGAATATCCTGAGCTTTCGCTGCCGTGTGACTGAAATCTTCTTTTCCATTGCCTTAGAACGCCGACGCAAAATACCATCTCTATAATCGGCTCGTTTACTCGTCATCGCTCTCATCCTCCTCGTCGCTGTCTTCTTCCTCGGCCTCTTCAAGCCAGTTCACCAACTGCTGACATCTCTCACGAACACCCGACATTGGCTCGCCTTCGGTCGATCTCTCATCTGCCCACCAGCCAAGAATGCCATCTTCCTCCACAATTTCCTCCTCGTAGAGATACCTGAAGAATGCTGCGCAGAGAGTACCAGCGCTCGGTATTTCGATTATCCTCGAGATACTCACACAAGCCTTTTGTACAGCAATCGAGAATTCAATCTGCTCCTCCACAGAACCACCTCCGACACCAACATCGAGAATAAAATCCTTGGCTCCGTCGCGTTCGGTAAGCACAGTCTTGGCCGCCTTTTCGTGGTTGTATTGGCCGCCTTCGCTATTCAAAAGTTCCACGGCTCGGCGCACAAAGGCGGTAGCGATTGCACGACGCACTGCAACATCTGAAGCATTATTTGCCAGACGCAAGGACATGAACTCTAGCTTCTCTGAGCTAAAGTCACCGCCTGACTCGCCACGCAATACCTCTAGCAGGCCGTGCACGGCTTCCGAGACGAATGCTGTGCCGCCTCCCGACGAGTCATCGGATGCGAATGAGCTGAGACGGGATCGGGACTCATCTCTGCCGCCAGCTGCCGATTGATCATCGTCGTCTTCGTCATACTCATCTTCAGAAGCCAACGTCGAGACGTCCGACTCGTCCAGATCTAAGCCTTCAAGGGAGTAAATGAGAGACATTTGAAGACGGTACGGGTCATCATTGTCCAGTTCCTCAAACTCGGGATCATGGAACCTGGCACCTTTACCCTGGGGACCGAGGAGCTCGAGATCTGGTGCGACTGATACGCCTTCTGCGGATACGAGAGAGAGAATAGTTGCCGGCGGCAAAACGGCGTTGTCGCTAATGTGAACGCCTGATGCGATCAAGCTTCCAGCACCAATTTGGACCTGCTTCCCAACTTGTGTGAACTCAGCGACTACCGAATGGTCGATCACTGCCCCATCCTCGATGGTAACGTCGTCCCAGAGGAAACTGTCCTTGATCTGAACGTTCTTGCCGATCCTGCAATTCTTGCCAATAAAGCTATTGGTGATGTGGCTGTCGGATCCAACGTCCGTGTCCCGACCAAACATGGAATTCCGAATCTTGCAATCCGAGCCAAAGTGGACATCGTTTTCCCTAAACACGTTGTCGTTCCACTGCTGGTATGTTTGACCTTTGACCAGGTTTGTGTCTGGGCTAAAGGGATATGCCCAGCCGCCCAGTACATCCCTACTCACGGCCTCGAACATTTGTAAATTGCTAGCTCTCGCGCTGTAGCCCTCGGAGACGATTTCGGTGTGGATCATTTTTCCGTTGAGCTCGTAATCCTTCAAAACACCGTGAAGAAAGTGGGCGCGCGGCAGTTCATAGTCGAAACTCTCCGACCACTGGGCCAGTACGTCTGGCGTGCAAATATCGATTTGCGCATCAATCAAGTCGCTCCTGATATCGAGTTCCTTGGTCTTTAGCAGGTCGGGATCGAGGGTCACATAGTGGTCGGCCTGGAACGGGTCCATCTCTTCGTAGTGTAAGCACCTCTTGGCCGATGGGTCGACAGCAAAAATGGGAGTGATGCCATTGACCTTGGTGTGGTGTTCCGACTGCCCGCCCTCGCGCAGGACTAGCGTCATGATAGAATCTCTGTTCGCCTCTTTCCGAGCTCTGTGGGCTGCCAATGCGCTGTCCAGTGAGATATTCGAAACCAGGTCACCGTGGACCAGAACAAAGTCTCCGTCAATGAGACCGCGGTTGTCGAGATCACGAAGAAAGTCGCCGATCGATCGGGCGTCGGAGACCTTGACGAAATCCACCAGGTTGAAGGGGCAGGCTCTGGACAGGGGAGTCCAGCGTGATTGTCTTATGTAGTTCTCAATTTGCTCCTGGTGTGCGCCGGCGTAAATAAAGACTTCCTGCACGCCGTTCATGGCGAGGAACTCGAGCGTGTACTCGATGATGGGCGTGTTGGCAAGAGGTAGCAAGCACTGTTGAAAGATGGCGTTAATCCTCGACTCGGGCGCAAATAGAGAGCATACATGGCGCGCTTCTTCTTACTCTTGGCTTTTCCTGCGAAAACGGTTGAAATCGTTGTTGGAATGTGTCGGCAATCAGCTAGAGTAGGAGAGTCATTTAGCTGTCTGTCCGACTGCCAGTCTGCGACAGGATGGATTGGGCTCACCACAGCCTGGAGGACATCTTCGCGCTTGTCCTCGGCGCCGCCCTTTGCGGCCCTCTTGCCTTTGGGGGCCTTGCTGGACATGGCGTATAGCAAGTCGCTGCTGAAAGAAAGACAAGATGTGACTGACGAAATAAGGGAAGCGACACGGGTGTTGATTGAGAGAGTCGCGATTATTTTTGTGCGCTATGCCGACACAGTCCGTTTGTGAATTGTTGTCGGGTATTTGGTGTTGAGCAGCAAAGAAATTGTGAGTCAACCGAAGCTGTGAAGCTTTTCCGGCCCCGCAATCACGGCGTCGGTCTTTGGCCATTTGGCGGGGCACAAAAAGAAGCAACCGTGCGTCATTTTGAAATTCGCGGGGCATGCGCACTGTCAATGCCTAAGCACTCACTCATGTTCAATGTTCACCCCTCCGCCATCTGGGTAAATAATGGATCTAGATGCTTTCCGTGCCTGGCTGTAATGCATGTGCGAGAGACAATGAATAAGCGGCAAGAATATGCCTGATGACGACGACAACACTGATGGTGAAGCCTCGAAGCCGAACACAGCCTGCTCTCGAATATGACTCTGTTAATACCGCCGAAGTTGTCAAATAGGTTTTTGGAAGGGCCATGATGTCGATGCATTCGTCATTCATCAACTTTTCACTTGTTGGAAAGGTTCCAACCGCGGGATAGATTTGGTTGTATTTCGTAGTCATGCAACAAACCCTAGCAGTGGGGATGCATTGACGTTCAGATCCAAAAGTTCCGATATTTCTTCACCGGTCGGGCAGGTCTAATGCATTCCAAAAGTGAATTCCACACACCGGCTTTTCTAAGGTAGGCTTTGTCGAAATGTACCCTTCTTTCGGGAATTTCCAGTCTCTAATAAGGCGTCTTTAGGCGCGCCAGCTTACCTTCGATGTTTTCTGCGCCGCTGTGGGAGAGATTAGGTACTTACCTAGGTATGCAAACATTAGGGCAGTCAATTGTCTGATTGCTTATCTGTCCACCAATAATCGAAGTTTTGAAGCAAGGCAGCAAAAACAAGATGACTGTCTTTTTTTTTTTTTTTTCACATTAGGGAGGACTTGAAATGTAATGAAACCTTTTTGCCATGTTTATCTGATCTTGTGTTTGCTCTATACTTACCAACCTTCACCTAAGTTCCAGGCAGCTAGCTAGTAGCTGAGGTAGCTGGATGACAAGAGGTTTAACTAGATCCTTGGGTAAATTGATCGACCGTTCCAGCCTTACGCCTCGATCTGCCGCTTAGAGGCTCGCCCAGATCCATATGCTCTGTACTTGGCCGTATAGATGTAGAGTAAAAAAAAGTAAGGTCAGCGCGTAGGATGGATGAGGGTTAGCTTGCCATGAGGTAGTGAAGTTTGCAGCCTGTAGCTAATGTAATGTAGCCCCCTTTTTCAACGGATAACGGCTGGATGATCATCTTACCTGCTGAAAATGCGCTGGCGTGGCACTCTATGTGATAACATATTGTTCTGTTTCAATATCTCGCGGTGCCGCACCCTAGGTTCGCATGCCTTGTAAGCGGTACCTACTAGGTATATTTCGGAAAATGCTGCTTTATAAACTTGCCTTTGCTTCACAGTACACTCGCATCATTATACGGCTCGAGAAGTGATTCATAAATTGCAAGGCTGCTACGTGCCCTGCCATTCCCCCCCAAATCTTTTCAGACTGTGAGACGTGTGAATAAAATGATTCTCTTGTTGCGTTGTAAATAAAACCCTAGATAACAATACCGGGAATAAGAAACCCGAGCACAATAGAAGAGCACCAACCTTTTCGAAAATGACACCGAATTCTCCAAGCTTTACAAGCCACCGCTTGCGGACCGGTCTCGACCCCGGAATCCCTGCCGCAAGGGCCGGTCTCGACCACGAACGACGATCCGGCTGTCGTACCGCATTACCCTTTTGTGCCCTCGTTTCATTTTACGCCCTGGGAGAAAGAGAGAAGGAAAAAGGACAACACGTGGGACAGCCCACACGAAACAGGACCCCAAGACCATTACCTACCTTGCTTCACTGTAACACCTATTTACTATATGTAAACCTTTTCTTTTCTTCTTCTGAAGGGTTGCATCCGTTTCTGCACATGATGCTAAAGATCATGCATTTGCATGCCCTTGTCATGGTATTTTCTGGACTTTGACTATGTGGCCAGGCCGCTGGGCTCAATATAGACAAACATTCCGGAGGCGTTTTCCTCAGCCAGCCCGCTGTCATTGTAGGACTATATGGTCCGAGGGGACTTTGAAGGTGCACAGTGGCTTGCTTTACCTTGGATTTGTTACCTATCATTCGTATCACCGAAAAGAAAACTGGCCCAGAAGAGCCTCGGCAAGACGGCGCACAAGAGGCGGGACTATTGGCATTCAGAAAACGCACGATCGAAACAGACTGGGTCACGGCCGACTGCAGTCGAGACAGCGGACCAGCTGAGGGGGGTTTAAAAAAAAAAAAGACGTCTTTCTTGCTGTTTCTGGCCGTTTGCTTTACTGGGTTCTGTGGAACTGTACCGAGATGCCTTGATCCAGCCTGTATATTGGTCTCAAAAGAGGGACAACGGTCTACAGGAGGAAATTTAGATGTCAAAGTTACGCAGTGACATGAACCAACGTCTTTCCGCAAAAGAAAGTGGTAAACATTCAGAAGGTTCGGATCTAATGTATGAATGATGATTTCATGACTGTACTAGGAATAATTCATGACTGTTGAACACTGCCGGAATCACGGCCAGAATCGCGGCCAGAATCAAACAAGGCACATGATGCAGACCAGGAAGCCTAGTGATCAAGATCATTGAAATGGGCTGAAGAGAAATAATAATAATAATAATAATAAAAGCCACAGACTACAGCATCTCCATGCGCAAGGAGTCTCGCCGTGTCTGGCTTTACAGATATAGTCGGCCAGGCTCAAGCCCATAAACCAGAAAAAGGCCAAGCTCTAGGCTTCCAGGCTCCAGCCAGCCCCCTCCGAGCTCCGGTGTGGAAAAGGACCATTGGATACGCTTCTGTCAGTAAAAACTCTATGCTAGCGGCCATGAATGACACCCACACCCAGATGACCGATGGGCGCAGCAGTTGCGCCGGCGTTTTTCTGTACCTAGGGGTCGGGTTGGGTTCGCGAGTCCCCAATATGCAAGAAAACGAAACTGATGGGGACGAGGGGACTTTGTGTGAGAAGAGCTAGGTCGTCCGAAATCTTGATCTCTACGTTACTTATATATATATAAGATATTGAACGAAAACTGAGTAAAGGAACACCAATGGATTACGCCCACCCAAGAAAGCCACCCTCGGACGCCCGTTTGGGGTCTCTCCCTGCGAGTCTGGTCTGGTCTGGGCATGGCTCTCGCTCGCTCGCTCGGCAGCCAAAGTCGGATGGAAGGATGGATGGGATGTGTGTAAGTCAAATGTAAGTGCGGGTACTTGTCATGTTGCCCGGACCCTCATTTGGGGGTCACCCAGAGGAGGGGTTTCAACAGTTGCAAGTGGCCTACCCTAGGGATTTCCTTTTAAGATTGTCCAGGGCCCCTGTCTTAAAAGTCGTGTTTGTTTCCTGGGGTACCTGTGGTCGTCTTGTTTGCGATTGCGCACCTTCTGGGGCTACATATATCGCATGATCTGCTTATACGTTGGATCGACGCTTCTTAGACTTTTTATCTGCTCTCATATATTACCTACTGCGGGTCTGTCTCTGTTCCTGTCTGGGCCGTTGCAGATCATTTTTCACCTTTCGGGGGATTGATGCAAGCCTAGTGTTTACCCTACCCACCCGCACTGGCGTATACTTTATATACCTTGCGGGTAGTGTCACCAACATGACCCTCAACAACCAACCTCACTTGCTTACCAATTGCGGTTTACGTTTTTGGACCTTGTTCTGGTGTCTGGTTATCCCTTTTTCTTCTTCTTCTTCTTCTTCTTTTTCACACTCTCTCCTTCGTCCCCGTCTCAAGTACAGCAAGCAATCATGGGTATGCGCAATCTCAAAACGGTTTAGAGGTCATCTAATTGCTGAACATCACCTGGGCGGCTTTGGTGGTATTCGATCCTGACAGCTTGATTGCCCAGTCCAAAGAGCAATTACCGTTTGAAATTTCTACGTCTTCTGCTGTGGGGACCTCACACTATTTTCACAAGGTCACGATTCCCAAGTGGAAGTCACGACAGTCAGTCTATTGGTCCGAAGGCGGTCAGACAAACGAGAGCCGAGTGGCAGCAGGCAAGGCCGTCTTCTTCAATTTTGAGCAACCACGTACACGTGTTGTTCCTTCATCTCATTGTCTTGTTACTGTCACGGTCGTCCAATGCTTTTCAACATTCTGGCACAAGTCTTAATCTCTTTTGGAGGTGAATCACTTCTCAAAATTTATGTCGATGAATCTTCTACTACTTTTTTCTTGGCATGCTCGGAAAAGTAATGCCATTTCTGTTTTCTCCCCCATCCAACAGGTCGTGCTGGAAGCCGTGCTCATCTTGAAGCTAGCATTCCGAGCAAACAACAGACGCGCAATGTGAGCTCGCTCCCAAACATGTTCAGCAAGGCTGAGCAAATGGGCGATACGACTCTATCAGGCCGGGTCATCGCCGACCGAATTCCATCTATTGACCAAGTATTGGTGTCGAGGTCGTCATTTTGTCGAAAACACTGGCCCTCCCACACCATACCGAGCCTCTGCGTCCGATTACCTTTCCGCGAAACCATCCTTTCAAGCTGCTCGTGACGAGCATGTCCACCCCTCGAGTCCTCAAGACTCCCTCAACCACCTTCGACCTTACAACAATGCGAATCTTTGGGGTATTCCATGATCTATGACAAGGTTCTAAAGCGCTTCACGTCCGCCTCAATCCCGTCGAATTCGTTCAGAGGACGAGACGTCTAACCCAGCGCCGCCGCCAGGGAGAAGAAATTAGGAAATATGGGGAAGGTCAATGCCGATAATGAAGGAAAGATAAAAAGAACCCATCATGTCCGTTAACGCCAACCGAGAGAAAGAAAATCGTCGCGGTGCCATCCCTTTTGGCACATATATACAGTTCGATAGCATCTTGGTCGTCAAAGAGGGATTCGATGCCGCTCTTATTGCGGATACTGGCCCTGGAATGTAGGGCCATGGAGTCGCTGTCTCTTCTCAGGCGGGCCATCGTTGGGCATACCCTCGGGCATTCTGCCATGACCGGCCGTCATGGCAGGGAGCATTGTATTCGGGAACCGAGGCTGCGAAGGTGCGCCGGGGTTCATGCCCATTTGTGCTCCGTTTCCAGCAGCCATGTAACCTTGCTCGTGGTTCAGGTTCGGCGATGCATGAGGCATTTGTCCTGGCGAGTGCCACGAAGCACTAGTTGCGGGCGACTGTATCGGCGTCGTCTCAAACTTTGCCATTCCCGAGGATGATGCTGCAGAAATAGGCAGGCTCATGCCAGCATTGGAATAGGGTCCAGGAGTCGGCGGCTGGCCATTACCATACGCATCAATGTAAGCCTCAGCTGTTGCGTTGCGCATGAAGCCAGCAAGGTGCTTCCGCAGCTTTCCAATCATGCCCTCCTTGGTGAAAGGCTTGGCCAACACATCCTTCATTCCTTTACCAAAAAGTCAGCATCGTCCCAGTCGCAGAAAACTCAGTAGGTGATCAACACTTACCCCAGTGAAAGTACATGTCTAGATCTTGCTGATTGATGTTGGAAGTCATGGCAATAATCGGGATTCTAGGGTTGACTTCTCGAATCATAGCGGTGGCCGACACACCATCAAGTTGTGGCATGACAATGTCCATGAAAATCAAGTCAAACCAGTTTGGATTGGCATTAATCTTGTGTACAGCTTCCAGTCCATCACGCTACACGTTGAGCATTAGCAATGCGTTCTCAAGCAGACATAAATGGGGCCAAGATACTTACAGCAACTTCGACACCACAGTCAAAGTTGGCGAGAAACTTGCTTCCGATTCTCGAACAGATCCTGTCATCTTCAACGAGCAGAATTCTAGGCTTCTTAGCACCCCACGGAGAACTGGCGCCAGGTGCACCGCTGGGTGGGCTTATGGTCGGCACAGTAGGAGGCACAGTCTCTGGTGCGGCTGCCAGGGCGTTCTGCGACAGCGGCCGGTTATAAGGGATGTTGCCCAAGTGCTCGGCAGCAAAAGGATCGATACCGATATCTTGTCCGACTGGGTATACCATGTGACGAGGGTCGAGCATGGGGTTGTGGACAAAGTCTTGGGGCATAGCTCCAGTTCCCGGCGGGCCCATCATGGTTCCAGACCCAGCCGACTCGGGCGAGGCACCAACCTGCTGGAACTGTACCGACATCTGGCGCAGGTCTCTTTCGGGGATGTGATCGCCAGACACACTGCTCATGATCTCCCGTGCCCTTCTAAGCTCAGCGGCAGGCTCGAGCGTTCCGTCCGACATGATGTTGTCAGAAAATGCTGGGCCAGATGCATGGTTCGAGGCGGATCTGGCATGACGGCGGGACTGGTCTGCCTTGTTCAAGTGGCTCAACAGCTCATTGTTGACCTGGGACTGGGCCTTGACGACACGCTGTAGGTGAAGTATCTCATCCACAAAGACCTTATTGGCCTGTGTGAGGGCAAAGTATGACTCCTGCAAACTCTGGACTTGCTGTTGCATGGCAGCGACATTCTCTGTCAATGCCACAATCTGAGTATTGGAGTGGTGGAATTGCTCCTCATTGTTCTGGGCCTTTCTCGGAGCCGGCGCTTTTCTGCGAATGTTGTCCAGGTTGTGCTTGGCGTCACGGTTGAACTCTGGGTGCTTGAATTCCCAAGCCTAAAACGCGGTCAGTCTTGGCTGACTGGTATTGATGCCGAGCGACAGAGTACTTACATTCTGACCGTACACCGACTGACCCGTCTCCTCATTCTGGCGCACTTTGTGGAAGTCATACTTGTTCAGCTGACGAACAAAACTAGCAAAGTTGCTGTGTTTGAAATGCTTCGGAAGGATCGTTTTCGTAAATTTTTCGTTCTGCAATACAGATTAGCATCGCGACACGAATCAGACGCTTGCTCGCAGTTTGCATACCTCGAGCACGACGAAACTATCACCGTGGTCACCCCAGCGGACGACTTCACTGTACGATGGGTCCTCCAACATCCTGTTGGCACGACATGGTTAACAAATTGGACAGTCAAGTCCGAGACTGTCGCGCAGTCCCAGACAAAGAAAAGGCTCATGGACTGGGGGCTGTATTTACTTATAGAGCTTGCGAACCTATACCCCGCCAGAGTCAGTCAGACGTCTTATCGCAAAACAACCATCTGAGTGCCGCGACCGAGTGCTTAATTCGAGTCGCAGAAAAGGGTGTACTTACAAAGTCACTAGAATTGTTACTGCCGCCCGCAGCAACAGACATCTCGGGTTCGGGCATCTTGGGGCGATGAACGGTGGGTTCCGATACCAGTGTATTGTTATCCTTTGCGACAAGTAAGGACCGCGCTGAGAGGCTGCTGCTGGTATAATGACGAGGACAAGAAGACAAAGGACGTATCGCCTAGTCACGAATATTGGCTATCGTAAAACTGTAGTTGTGTCCCGGCGCAGTCCACCTCTTTCTTCAACATGCAAATGCGCGCAATATATATCGTCGTGCACGGCCGAAATCGAAGGCGACGAGATTCCTTTGCAGCTTCTGTCGCCCTGGTCGGTCTCTGATCAAGGTCGCTACGATCGCTTCATCGGTCGGGGAGAAAGGCGACGTTGTGACGCGTTCTGTCGGCGTCGTTGCGTCAATAAGGGAAAAAGGATCAGAGGCGTTGTTCTACTGTTGCATGTCCCGGATTAACGCAATTGATTTTCTCTATGCGTGGTAACGGGTGCCCCTGAGGTTGGCCGAATTTTTTTAAAAGTTTGTTTTTTTCCCTTCTGATCAGCAGCAAAGGAATCGTCCGTCGAGATTACCCCCTTTGGCTTCTGGGAGCTGGGTAAGGGTAGACGGGGACTCTTTGGGAAGAGAAACAGAACAATGGTCGGAGGTTCAAACTCTTTGCGGGCTTGCCCTCTTTTCCAGCCAGCGACGAGGATGGGATAGGGCAGGATTGGACTGGGCTGGACTTGGATAGGACAAGATGGGACGGGAACTGAATTGGGACAGGAGGAATAAACTCTGGCCACGGAACCTGACAGCCAAGGGAAAGGGAAAAAAAAAAAAAAAAAAAGGAAGAAGCTAGCCCACCCTCTAGTTAGCGGCCCTCTGACGGCATCGAGCAAGGATGGTGGGGATCTGAATCGGGTCAATTGCTTGCCCTGCCTGATCAGTGGTCAGAAGCTGGGCTGTTTCCCAGTGGCTGGCTGTGCTGGTTGGGCGACCCGCTGGTACTTGCAGATGTAGATGCAGGGAGCTGGTGTATGTACACGACAAGGTCCTTGTGCAGGCTTGCGGGGGAGAGGGGGTGGGCAAGAGGCGCCTGATTTAATGGCACAAGAGAGACAGACACAGGTTGACAGGCAGGCAGGCAAGAGAGTGTGATGAGATGAAGAGAGGAAAAAGAGAGACCCTAGCCAAGGAGACGAACCGAGACAGACCATAACCAGCTCAGAGTCTCGCCCGGCAGCAACAGGTAGGTAGGTACGCAGTAATAATAACCATTCTACGGGAGGACCCTTCTTTCCACTATTATGGGAATGGCGCAATATGATAATAGACGACCTATCATTCTCACTCTATTGCGGCTCATGCTTCGAATGTATTGGTTGCTTCCAACGTGTTGTGCTATACTGTGCTCTTTGTGTACATAGTTGTGCCATTTGCACATAGGAAGAGAACCGCTCGAGAGTAGTAGTAAAAACCTCCCCTACAAATGCCTGTACCTGGCTGAACGATTAGTTGGAAGATACTAACCGAGGCTTGGGAGATGATACAGACAAGGATTGGGCTACGACATACTGTGTAACAAGACATGACTTGTGACTGGCGTGCTAACTGTGACTTGAATACTGCAATACTGCAAAGACTGGCAATATGTGCTGCCCGGCCGACTGGAATGATGATTGGGTGCGGATACTTGCTATTTCCATGGTCCCTCAAGACACTCAAGCCTGCGCTGTGCCTGCTGACAGTTTGCGAGACTGAGATTTTTCTTCGAGCCGCAAAAAGCAGGCGGAATATTTCAAGTCTTTCCACATGTGCAATTAGCTAGGTCTAGATAGTACTTTTTTTTTTTTTTTTTCAACTTCACAGAAGCAATCAATAGGTACTCTTTCTATACGTGAGCGTTTCTTCTCGAAAATGTAGTTTTTATGTGCCCTTTGCCTGACCCGAATAATCATTGGGGCTCACTCATGGTAACTGCCAATAACTCAATAACCTCGAAGGAAGCACGAGTAATCATTGAAACTACCGCTTGAGTCCGTGCCAGAACTGTGCCACTAATTTGGACACGCCACAAGCAAGCGCGTTGCCTCCTTTTGGCTATGACATGGCGGTACCTCGAGCTCGAGTCAAGACTCTTTCTGAGTCGCTTGACGGCCACCGTCTCGAAAGAGCCTCTCCAACCTTGAACAACTGGATATGAAGCAGTGAATGATGAGCATGGCGGGCGGGCGGGGCAAACATATGGATGCTACTAACTACCACTCTGTGTGTATATTGTGTGTGCCCAAACCAGCTTGTCACAGCGTAGATGGCACCCACCAGTGACAATTCATCCGGCAGCGAGCCAGTCAACCAGCAATATGTGGCCACGATCATTACTTGTTATGTAATTCCCTCACTGTTTCCCTTTCTTCTTCTATCATCTACAAGCCTTGACCTGGCACAAATGCAATCTGAAGTGTACATGTACGCATTGCGCAAACCAGACAACCATACACATAATCAACCCCCCCAGCGAGTCCCGGAACACAATTACCGCCTCTGGGTCGCGTTGCTTTTGGAGGAGATTGGGTACATGAGCGTTGTGGGGAGCTCACGGCAGAGGCCAAGGTACCCCCTGAGTCGGCATTCTTTAGCGCCGCCTCGGAGCACATTTGGCTGACCTTGCAGTCAGTGGCTTTTTTTTCTTCTGCTCTCCTAGTGTAATACATTAACCCAACTAGCCTCTAGGCAAGGTACCTAGGTTAGTTAGAAAGGTACGATGCGTTCGGGACTCACCGTGTCCGAGGCGAGATAATTTAAACCATCCTATTGACAAAATGCACTATTCGCTTTCCATGATCTAGTATAAACATTACTTTTATCAATAACAAGACAGTCTCTTTTTCTATTTAGGTTTTCGATTTCATGTCGCAAGACTGCTCGTCATTTAGCCCCTAGCACATATACTTCCCCCGTCAAATTAGGCGAGTTTTACTGACAGCTACCACAATGGAACGATTACCACTAGCTCCCACATGCCATAAGGTAACCAGGACCTGGGTTTCTGTGATTGACCCGCCATGCTTGAAAGAACAGTGGAGGCGGTTTTGAAAATGGATGGGCTCGATGGATAATATCCATTGTCGCGTCGTGATCGCGTGTACAATTGGCAAAGTGCCCCCGGGGGACCCCGTTCCTACTACTTCCATTTCCCCGCTTGTGCGCGAAAACGGTATTCTTTTTTGTTTTCTCGCGCCAACTTACCGACTTTTATTGTAGCGGAGAGTTTTCGGTATACTCTGCGAGGCGCTGCCCCAGACTATCATAATCGCAATATCATCGCAAAATAGGCTAGTCCTAGCAAAAGCAGAACCAAGTCGACCAACCGTGAAAATGACCGCCGACTACTACTCCAAAACACCTCTACGACTGATTAATTCCCGTCTCACCAGAGCCCATACAGAGTACAGAGCCACTATAGCACCAGACCCTCAGTGATTGTAGCGAGGCACGATGACGCACGCCATGCTCACCTTGGCCTCGCTTTCTCTACACACCAACTGCACCATGTCGAGCAGGAAGCAATTTCGGTCTTGTTGCTGCTACTACTGCCGCCGCTTCTGCTTATGCGGGAATTCCTTCTTCTGACAGGTTACCTAGATGCTTCCTTCCTATGCGAGAAAAATAACCCGCCTTGCTTGGTTGCCCGCTTGCGCCAGCTGATGGACAAGATGGAGTATGGCAACCCAAAGACCGCGTCTCTCGTTCCTCTCTTCAGCTCACCTCTGTCCAAAACAACTGTGATCGGCATTGCTCATACTACAAGAAGCAAGCAAGTAGAAGGCCGGGCCGCAGACCGTCGGCTGGTCTAACCTTTCCAGGTCGAATGGATCGAGATCAAAAATCGATGGCTTGGATAGTCTGGATATTCCCAACGGGAGGAACGACTCGGGGTCCTGGGGTACTCGGATTCTTGACTCGACTGTCTTGTCTTTTTGTCTTTTGTATATTTCGGCCCTTTCAGAACCACCACCTGCGGCCTCCGAAGAAGGCTTCCGTCTCTAGCTTCACCCAAATGCTTCTCTCTACTCTTCCTGTACATGCCACACCATGTCAAAATGCCTTAGTTGGCCTGTCTTTCCCACCCCTCGTGGCAGTCCGCGAGAGGCCAGCGTCTCTTGGCGCAACCCTAAGGGTCTTTGGTTACCGACTCTCTGGGAATTCCCAACCACGCTGGGGCGAGGGGAGGGCAACTGGTCAAGGATGAGGCACCGACTTGCGACTGGCTGACTTCCCGGCCGCCAAAGCCAAATTGAAATTAGGCGCTCTCGTACTTGTCTCGCACGTTCCGCGGCCAACAGATCACAATGAGAATTTACTACTTACTTCTTGCTTCATGGGATCCTGGAGCAGATGAATGCCTTTGGGTGTCTCTTTTGGCAGTTGGCGCTAGGTGTTGCATCTCATCCATTCAGCATTTCCAGACATCTGTTTGTCCTGGAATCTTTTATCATTCTCACAGACTCGCTGCAACAATCGCTAATAGTTGCAAATGGTTCATATGGGACGCCAGCCAATGCACGAACCCGGTGCTTTTCCTCCAGATTGGCTTTGCGCCTTCTCCGCGCCTACGACCACACTACGGACGTAGCCAGATTCCATAGCTGAGCCTCCAAAACCGCAAAGAAAAGGGCGACTGGCTCCGATGCGGCCATTCCAGTGCTGTAGTCTGAGATCGCGGCAACAGAGTGTGCCACATCCCACAACCAACCTGGAACTGCTCCCACGTGCAGTTAAGCCCCAACAATGGCATGGCATCCCTTACTTGCAAGTAAGGGATGCCGCCAGCCTGCCACACGATATACTATGTAGTTGGTAGGTTGGCGACACTAAAATTTGCGTGGAATGTTCTTGGAGAACTTCCATGAAATAGTCGAAGAACGGCTTTCACACCACGCGCAACCCCAAGCTCTACACAGTAAGGCCAGGCGCTTGGTCCTTATCCGCGGTTGAAAGCGGTAGACGTTGGTTCCTAGCATTCCGAACTCCAGTCACCCCTTCAACTCTTATGTTCACGTGCAGTCTAGATGACCCGAATTTCTGAGACTATAGCGTTTTGCACATGCCGATTAAAGGAGAATTGACCTAGAACGTGTTTACGATTCTGCAGATAATCGCAATACTCTCCGAACACCTGAATGGATCATAAATTCGCCCCTCCACGGTTTCGATGCAGGATTGCTAGAAAAGCGCCCATTCTTCGGGAATAACACGACAACTAGTCACGCAGATCTGACTGTTTATCTGCCTTGGCCATATTGTGACGTTTCAAACCATCAATTATATAGCAACATAGCTGTTGTCTAGAAATTACATGCTGCCTGAGATCTGCCGACTGCTAGAAATAATACAAGATGAAGGCACACGAATGTCGATGGTCTACACTATACTTCTGTACTAAGCGTGTTTCCAAAGTTGACTTGCCTCTTCTTCCCCATTTCAAGAATATGGCTTGCTTGCGTGATTAGCACTGGGCATGTGAAGCTGTAAAAAGTTACCCAAAATCATGAATGTTACTACCCTCGAATCGGTCGCCGCAGCCACGCGGCATATTTCTTTTCCGGGGCGCAAACAAGATTTTGGCAAGCATCTCGTAATGCAAGACCTGGAAGAAAGATTATACGTTCCATTATGTGAATATTTTTTTAACTATATGTACAGTATATATCTGGGGCCGAGCAAAGGGCTCCAATCAGGCGGACACACAGTCATCATCGTATGCACGACTCGGTCCCATGCTGAAGCTCGCCCACGTACCGTTCTTGTTGGCTTGCTTGGCGTGCGCCAGCCGTATGAGCGTGGTGCCATTGGGCTTGTAGTTCTCCCACCCGTCGTACTTGTGCAAGCCATGGACGGGATCTTTGGCAAAGGCGGCCCAGGCGCCGCGCATGTAGGTGCCCACGTCCTTCTCTCGTTGTGTGTTGGTGTAGTATTGCTGCGGTGCCGTGTTGAAAATCGATGGCAGCTGTGGATTTGGTTAGCATTCCTTTTCTCTCTCGAGGCATTTGATAACCAAAGATCCTGTAAAACGTACCTCTGATCCGTGCCAGGAACCATTGTATGGGATCCATGGCAGGAGTGTGTTGGGAAATGCGCCAAACCATCTGTATCGCCAGGTCGGATTGCCCTTGGAAACGCTGACGGCCGCCCGCTGGCCTGCGGGACACGTGAAGACAAAGATGTTCTGCACCGGCCAGTACCAGTGCGGCAGACCGGCCCACCACGGCGTCAAATGTTTCGACAGTCCGGATTCATCGTCGGTATTCCCGACCAGCACAGGTCGCGCGGCTGGCGATCGGTCCGAGTAGTCGGCAAATACGAGCTTGCCGTCGGCGACGGGACCATAGGGCAAGCCGGGCGTCATGCCGTAGCGGATGGGCGGCAGCCGCTTGATGAGGACGCTGGCTGGGATCGACTGCATGCAGGCAAAGACGCGGGCTTCGGTGGCCTGGTGGCACCCGACCGCGTGGGCCGCCAGATACCACAGGTCCGAGGCGGCCTTTTGTGTCTGGACGCCGAACCCCCAGGCGGTGCCGCTCTGCATCACGTAGCCCGAGGCAATAGGGTCCGAGGCGTAGGCGTAGGAATGGATGTCCACCGAGGCGGCACCGGCCGACTGGCCAAACATGACGATGCGGTTTGGGTCGCCGCCAAAGCTGGCAATATTGTCCCTTACCCACTCGACAGCCATGCGCTGGTCGAGGATGCCCAGGTTGAGTTCCGTCGTCGGGTTGCCCGGGAACCCGAAGATGTTGAGCCGGTAGTTGATCGTGACGACGACGACATCTTGCTCCTCGGCCATGAACTGCCCGTTGAACCATTTTTCGGAAGAGCTCCCTCCTGTGTAGGATCCTCCACTATAGGTACAAAGGGTTCATGATTAACATATAATCTCAAATGCTTCAGCCAGTTGAAGAACTCCGCCTTGTAATTGAGCTTACAAGAGTCTCGGAACCCCAGGCCGAGACGCAATGTATGGAGGCGGGTGCCACGCAAACTTTCAAGACTTACTGTATATAGACGAGTACAGCTTTTGAACTCTCGCCTTTTTGAGGATCAGTCCACACATTTAACGTCAGACAATCCTCACTCTGCGGAGTATCTGGAAGCAGGACGTCAGGTGTCACATAGTAGCCACCTCTCGAGAGATTGTACAAGGGCTGCAAAGCATGTTCAGCTTGCAGTGACGGGTGAGCTTGCATGCATGGGAAACCCTCGAGATGACATTAGCACAGTGATGCTACCTCAACAGCTTTTTATCGTTTTGAAAGGCTCACAAATGTCGTTCCATTTATCGGCGCCGTCCCTGTATACTCGACTGGCGGCTGCCAACGCAAGTCGTCCACGGGTGGCTTTGCATAAGGTATACCCAGATATTCAGAGACTTGGGTATTATTCGAGGCAGCGTGTCCAGTCACCGGACCGCTGGTAGTATCGACAACCTGACCAACGGTCCAATTTCCTGCTCTTCTCGACACATAACGCTGGGGAACTGGTGGCAATGCTAGCACCGTCGGTACCAGGAGCAAACCGACGATGAATCTGACGACGTGAAGTCGCATTTCGAAGAGGATATTGACAAGCAGAAGATCGCTAGAAACCAAAACATGATTATGAAAGAGCCCGGCGGAGGAATATCTATGGCATGTCGAAAAAGAAACTTGCTCGCTTCCCTCTCGCTTCTCGCCTATCAAGATTCGGCTACGACATACCGAACGGTAGCAGCGTTGGGTCTTGTTCATATGTATCAAGGTCGCAATCATATGCGAGAAGCACTTTAAGCTTATTGTGCGCCACCCCGGCTGGCTACGGTGACCTTTTTGTCTGCTTGCTTGCTTACTTGCAATGCGCACCGAGTTTCAGGACGCCGAGCGTCTCCATGATTGGACGGCCACGCCCGCGACCCGCGCCGGAGATGGGCTTCCCTATAAGGCAACCGGGAAGCGGACGGTCGCCCAGCGCAGGCGATCCCCCAATTCAGCCATTGCAAATTCCTGTCTGGCATTTATTTGACTGGATTCGTCGCACACCTCGCCTGTTACTCAGATAGGGCAATGTGAAGCTTTTTCCAAAACAACATATCTAAACCAGATTGCAACACCGTCAGGGATTCTAGAGTGGCCAATGACACGGGGGCGGCTGTCGGTCGTTCAAAAAGCAGGTCCAATGCCGGTTGAGCCGTGCAACCGATACATTACTGTGTATACAAGCCTACCCAACAAATGCGTCCTAGAACCATTGGCGTCAAAAAAGACAGGAACCGGCTGGCATATGGCAATCAACTGTGAACTTCCGGAACCTTAGGCTCTTCTTTCTCGCCGAATATGGAAGTTGCCAATCTATAGTATACCTAGGCTGCCAGTTGCTTTTACATCTGTACCCTTATCATCCAATTCTTGTAACACTGCAGATTCCTTCAAATGCCAAGTATCTTTGTCATGGCGACCGTAGCATCAGTCGCCTAAGTCACCTTCTCAAGTCAATACGAGTATAGAAACCAAAGCATTTCCTGCGGATATATACTTTCCCATCAACTCACCTTGCAAGGATAATTGAAATACGCCATGACATTTACTCTGGCTTGTGAAGATATAGAACATTGACATCTGCTCGTATTTGATTCAAGTACATTTCAAAAAGCCATAGAGTTACTCAACCATGGTAGCACTATTCGAGCCGACAAGCATCATTACCATGCAGTATTGTGAGATGATAGCTTGGCCGCATTATCTATACTTCAGTGGCATATCGCCGAGCCGAGCAGAACCCCCCACAGAACAACCCCTGGAAAGAAGCTGCGAAGCCAAGACTTTGGCCATCCAGGATCACTCAACTCGGTGTATTGTGCCGCCTAGAAATCGGCGGCAATTACGGCACCAATATGGCTGCACACATGGAGCCGAACCAATGACGCGGATATGCAGATATCGGACGAAGCATGCAGTGATGAGCAGAACAACAACAATAGATATCTTTCATTGAATCTCTTCAATGAATGTTTGCACGAGGCTGTTCACTTGTTTAAACCAAGTATGACATGTCAATATTGGCGCAGATGATGTAGAGCCTGCCGACAGCAAAAACAGGCTTGTGTAGACGAAACATTCTGCAGTCCTACGGAATAGCCTCTTAGTATTGGTTGAATTGTGACGACTGCATAGCGTGACGTCAAGTAACACGGCCACGTATTGTGCCGCGAGCCTCGTAGGACTTGGTAAAATCATTGCGAGATTGGGGACCGCAAAGATGAAAGAGTCAATGGAATATAATAATACCAGCTCTCTGAATGTGATGCAATCCACTTGCACATGGAACTCACGAAATCGCCAAAGCCACGAAAAGAATCACCGCTACTGCTTGATCTAGGATAACCACAAATAATTTATATCGTGCCTGCACTCTTTTCCAACCATCTCAATTCGCGATCCATTCTTCAGCACGTACCGCGCATGGACAGCGACGACATGTTTGCCCGTGACACCGATAGTCCACATCTCACTCGACGGCGGTACGGAGGGTACAGCTCGCCTACAAGTCCCCAAAACCAAGGCCACGACAGGGCATGGGTTGTGCGCCGCTGCGTCTACGTCTTCATTGCGCTCGCGGGCTTCGCCGCCCTGTGCGTCGTGATTCGGTTCTACATGTACCGCGACCGAAAGCGACGCCGACGCGGCGAGCCCGTGGTGCATGGGCGCAACGGTCGCCGATGGCTCAAGTGGCACAATCAGCACGAGTCCAACGCCGACGATGGTCCTGTACTTGCTGGAAAGCACGCGGGGGATAGAGAAGCCGAAGCGGGAGAGCATGGTACTGCAGACGTGCCAGAGAAGCCGAGGCCATCTCATGCGAAGCCAACGCGAGAGATGCACTATGAAAAGGATCCGAATCCGAATAGCTTGCTCAACGTGTAGAAACTTTTGCTACATGGTTAGTGGGATCAGGTGCGGAGAAAATAAACAGTGTGGTCACTGATCAAGTATATCGTTAGTCTTTGTAGGTGGGTTCATGGATCCTCTCATCGTTGAAATTACAAGCCGGAGTCTGGTCATGACGCAACGTTTAATTCAATCAATATGATGAAAAGTCAAATCAAAATTTTCTCCTAGCCACCCGTGTAAGAAGCCGATGCAAATTCTCTTTAGGTAACAAGGTCCCCCACGGGGGATTGCGGCCGAGCTGCTGATCCCCCCGCATTCTCGGCATCGCTCCGTAAACTCCATCCTAACTCCCCGGCTTACAACCTCTATAATACCATAATTGAGAATATAGTACGAACAAATGTAACACCAGTATGAACTCACTGTCTATAATAAGTCGCCCAACCCGGTACTCGCTAGACTGAGTGGGACCTGACAAACAGCTACACGCACGTGTAAAACTGAAAGAAGACAAATTCTCACACCCATCGACATGACGGAGCAACAAGTAGACGTGCTCATCTGCGGCGGCGGGTCCGCCGGCCTCTGCGCCGCCGTGTGGTTGTCGAGGTGCGGCATCAGCTACAAGATTCTCGAGCGCCGCGACGGGCCCCTCGCCATGGGCCAGGCCGACGGCGTGCAGTGCCGGACCGTCGAGGTGTTTGAGAGCTTTGGCATGTCCGAGGACCTGCTCCGGGAGGCCTACCACGTGATTGAGCTGGCGTTCTGGGCACCTGATCTCGTCAACGGCAACGGCCACGCGAATGGAGGGGTGGGGGACAAGGCGGTGACATCCTCGTCCTCCTCGGGCATCAGGCGGACGCACTATGCCGCCGATGTCGAACCCGGCATTAGCCACCAGCCCCATGTCATATTGAATCAGGCCCGCATGAATGCGCTCCTGGCTCAAGAAATGGAGAGGGCTTCCGGCACTTCGGATATCCTGTATGGCTACGAAGTCAAAGGTGTAGAGGTCGATAGTGCTACTGCTTCGGATCTGGATGCCTATTGTTGCACGGTGACGGCAACTAAAGCGGACCAGGAACACAAATTCCGGGCAAAATATGTACTGGTAAGTTTTCTCATTCCTCTTCAATGGGACTTGACTTGACACGGAATAATAGGGTTGCGACGGAGCTCATAGTACCATCCGAAAGTCTCTGGGCTTCAAAATGGTTGGCGACAGCACCAATGCAGTATGGGGCGTGATGGACGTGTACCCGCAGACGGACTTTCCAGATATTCGAAAGAAGACAGCCATCAGCTCCGAAGCAGGTAATCTGATGATCATACCCCGCGAGGGCGACAGTCTGGTGCGCTTCTATATTGAGATTGAGAACGCCCACGACGTCTCCAAGCTGACGCTCGAGGACCTGCATGAGAGCGCCCGGCGCATCTTCCGGCCGTACAACATGGACATTGCCGAGACGGCATGGTGGTCCGTCTACGCCATTGGACAGCGGCGGGCCGATTACTTCCACCGGGACCACCGCGTGTTCCTGACGGGCGACGCCTGCCACACGCACAGCCCCAAGGCAGGGCAGGGCATGAACGTGAGTCTACAGGACGGCTACAACATTGGCTGGAAGCTGGCGGCGGTGCTGCGCGGCCGCGCCACCGACCCCTTTGGCCTGCTCGCCACCTACGTTTCGGAGCGCGAGAAGACGGCCACCGAGCTCATTGACTTTGACCGCTCCTGGACCAAGCTGTTTTCCTCGTCGTACCGCCGCGAGCACGGCATCACCCCGGAGGACTTTCAGCAGCAGTTTGTCAAGGCCGGCCGCTTCACTGCCGGCATGGCGACCAACTATCATGACTCGGCAATCATGTCCGCAGTCACCAGCAAGCAAGATCTTGCCAAGGGTTTGCCGGTCGGTATGCGGTTTCCTAGCGCGCAGGTCGTGAGGTTCTGTGATGCGCGAGTCTTGCAACTCGTGAGAGCTCTTCCGGCGGATTCGCGGTGGCATATCGTCGTGTTTGCTGGCGATATTCGATACCAGTCTGCTGCAGAGCGGTTGAATTCTGTAAGCGACTTTAGAGGATTCGTTGTCTGAATTTCGAGTCGGACTAACACTCATATTCTAGGTGGCTATCGAGCTGGATCGAATGGTGAAGCGCTTCACTCCTCTAGGCTCTGATTATGATAGCATTTTCAATATCCTTTTGGTCCTATCTGGAAAACGCACGGAAGTTGAGCAGGAGCAGATACCGGATACTTTTGTGCCGGTAAATGGGAAATGGAAGATGAAATGTACGTCAAGAGTCCCACTTGATTCATTAACCAACCACTGATAACCTTGTCTAATACTCACAGGCCTATTCAAAACATTTGTGGATGACGAAAGTTACAACTCGGGCCACGGTCATGCATATTTGACTTATGGTATCGATCCTACCCGTGGTGCTATAGTGATTGTGAGGCCTGATCAATGTAAGTGCCGCCTCCATTCCCGATCAAAAGTTTCGCATTCACTAATGGCTGGAACAGATATCGCGCGTGTTGGTGCATTGACAGACGTTGATGGAGTTTCGCAATTCTTTGACGGCGTACTAAAACATTAATCGAGGAAAACAAACAATTTGGCATGAACTCTACAACAACATTCACTGAACTCTGTACTGTTCAAATCAACAGTCAACTTCCCAATAGTTGCACATTCTCACTTTTGTAGAAATTGATACTGCTGTTTGTTGGTCTTAGTCCAATCACACAAGATTAGGGGTATATTATAAGAAGGGAGAAAAACAGACTAAAGGACAATGACCTCGAGGACACATCGCTTGCTAACTGAATTATTTCACTTGAGCCTCGTTCTTAGCTTGGTCGATCAGTGCTCTTTCCCCAGTCTGGACTGCCGTCCACGTCAATCATTTCCATGCACATCTTCAAGAATCGTTCTCTGTACTCAGTGCTGACTGCCGTCAAGCTCATCGGTCCCTGGGAATCGATGAGATTATACGTCTTGATCAGCCCTGTCATTGCCTTGGCGTGCAGCGTATGCTTTGCCCAGAAGAAGTCTAGAACAGCTGCACGATAAATCTCCTTGCCATCGTACGAGGTTATGCCCGTTCTCCAAGTTGGTGGACCAGGAGGTGCAAACGGGGGCTCATCTGGAGGTAAGCTCTCGTTCAGTTGCGGCTGCTCGACATCTTCAGAGGTGGTTGATGAGACCCGCACCAGGAACAGCGAGTAGTCGACAGCATTGCAATCGGCAAGAAGTTTTGTGTCCTTTTGTAGTTGCGCCTTGAAGTCTTCGGCCTGGTCCAAGGTCAACTTGATCTTGTCGTCAAACTCGTCGGCAAGCCTTGATTTGGTGGCTTCCGAGGTGAGTACACCACCTGCCACATCTCTTTCTGGGTAAAAGTAAGATGTAGGCTTTAGATCCCAAGATTCCCACTTCTAGAATATTGCAGATACGTTAGCGTTTGTTTTATTCTGGGCGTTGAACGCCAGGAAAGGATTATTGCTGCTGGAACTTACGCTCTTTTTGCCATCCTTATCCCCCTCGTCTGCTCCATAGAGAACATTCTCCATGACAATATGATGGCTTGGAGCCATGCCAAACAATGAACCAAAGCTCCGCTGCGAGCACTCCAGGAAATCCGTGATGCGAACTAACAGACTCTCCGGATTGGCTCGCATGTGATCAGCGTAAGGAATGATCATTTCGTTTTTGAAAAAGGTGTGCTCAAAGTATCGCGGAACCGACTTGACCAAGTAGGCGCCATCGTAGGTGCGATAGAAGGTAGAGCCACTGTAACCCATATCGCCCAAGGTCTGTAGGATGTCCTTCTTTTTGGACGCAACTTTCCAGTCCGAGCCAAAACTTGCCTTGTAGTCCTTATCCTTGATGGCCCACAAGCCGCGGAGTGCTCTGAAGAGATCGGTCCTCACGAGCTGAAAAGTCAACCAGTAGACCCAGAAGCGGCCGAGGAAGCGACCAAAGATGGTCGACTTTGTGGTTGGCTTGCCATTCTCGTCTGTGCCCAAGATGGCGTAGATGATGGATCTGGCAATGATGAGTTGACGATCTGCCATTTTGGTACCTTGTCGTGGTTTCTGAAGAGAATATCGAGTTTCATGAGGAACGTCATTCGAGATTTCATTTTTGTTGCCGCGACTTTTCTTGATCTTTTGTTGATTCACGAGTCCGGCGGCCTGGAGCAAAGTCTCCGGGCGTCGTTCGCTTGGCAGTGGGGTGACGTCAGAGCCACGATCAGATGGTGAATGTGCTTTCGAATCGCAGGACGCGGCAGGCGTCAACTACAGAAATCGCAACTGCCCATTCTGTTTTCGAGGTCAGCGAAAGCTTCAAGTCCAATATAATCAAGGCGTAATTTACATACTCGGTCCAGGCATGCAATAATCAAGACGTTTCTGGTTATACTTTGGCTGTATAATGTTAGAGGCGCTTAAACAGTCAACCTCAGTGAGCCCTTGAAAAGTTATGGAGGGTCGGTAGCTTAGCACTACTGCAGCCCTATAGCAGCGGTAGGTTAGCGCCCTCCGCCACAAATCTGCACTAAATTATGGATGTCACAGGGGCCTTCTCCACCGAAATATTGAACAGTGATTTCACTATCAGCCACATATATCGTCAGCCATGGTCCTCGACGGTCTATCCAGGTGTCCTGACACGTCCATGGCTCCCTAGTTGGGCATCAGTGGATGTCTCCCACTGCTGGGAGATGGACGAAAAGAAAAAAGAAAAAAAGAAAATAGAAAAGAGGGTATTGTGATTATGAATAAAACAGGTATCATTGTGCATCTACTTTGATTTAACCAGCGGAAAACTCTTTATCAACAGCTTTTGAGTTGCCCTCACGACTTCCTTGATCGATTTTGACCTCTTTCTCTGATCTGACCATGTTTCCTTTCAGATCGTCCAGCTCTTCCAACTCCAGACCCATGTCATTCTGTGGTGTCGAAAAGATTCCTGCTTGACTATTCGAGTCGGAATGGTTATCCGAAACCCCATCGAAGCCACTACCATGACGCATGTAGCGATTCATCGATCTGTTACGAAAGGCCGAACTGCGTCGCCCCGAAACAGGAGGCCCGGAAGATGTGTCGTTTCTTGCTTCGTACTTATTCGAGCTGTATAGCTTGCTCCTGAAGCCGCACATGTAGCTGATCTGGCGGACAAGTGGCTGCAGAGCTGGGAAACAGGCACACCAGAGTCCGACATGGCATTCGAGATCAGTCCAAAAGCCAACGGTCGCCATCTTGTAGGTGGTGTCGACGCTAAAGTCGGTACGGACTATAATGCTCAGGCGAATAATACCGGTGATGACGGCAAATATGCCCACGCAAAAGATGAGCGCGACTCGGACTGCTTTTGCCGTGCTCATCATGTTGCTGCGCACCACCCAGATTGGCAGACAAAACAGCGCCACGTCAACGACAATACCGATGCTGGAGTGTGCCCACATCATATAAATTTCGGATCTCTTGGATACGCAGTCATCGCTGCTGCCCGGTGGAAGGAAGAGATTACTAACGTGAGTAACTTGCTGTCAGCTCCATCTGTATCTTCAAGGCCCCCCCAGCCATAGATCTTGACTTACCTGAGTTTATGGCATTCCAGAAGGCGGAATAGAAAGCAGGAAACAGTCTGAGCTATGATGACTCCTCCCGCCGTGTAGGTACAGACCCTGAAGAGCCCTGAAGCCATGAGGATGTGAGTGACAAGCATTGTGAAGCAGTCCTTGTGTGATCGGACTTACTATCTTTGGATAAACGCAGAAGGAAGGCGACAATCGCCAACCTCATCAAGCCAATCCCCCAGAAATACAGTAGGTGCTGCCTCGTAAGAGCTGCAAAGAAGGGGAATATGAAAGCCTCTGGAATCTCGTCCATATGAGCACCAGCTCCAAATTCGACCGCTAAAGTGGCGCATTCGTTAGGTTGATATACACGCCTGCTGATTTCGTTTGACTTACTTTGTATTTCAAAGCCCGAGAAGACCACTAGCAACAAATACGCGATCGCTGTGGCAACATCGTCCAGACCAAGTCCTTTCGTCATGAATAACCTCACATAGAGGCGAGAGAACACGACTAGTGTCGATATGATGATCAAACATATGTTTAGATTTCGCACTAGGTATCCGCGGTACTCAGTTGTACTGTTGAAGTCAAATTCTGGTAAGGGCATGGCGAATAGTGAATGGCGCGATTCCCTCCGCCAGAACGCCTGATTCCAAACAGCTGGTATGGGATCATGAAGAGAGAAGAATGTGTCCAGATATTTGATGATGCTTGCGACCACACCTCGTCCTGATCTCTTGATTTTGAATGAGTGCGTCTTGCATGTAGGTTCAGTCGTGCGAACACTGGTGAAGTGGAAGCAAGTAGCTTTGGTCCTCAATACCTCATTAAGAAAAAAAAAAAACCTTAAAAAAATTCGAACTTGCTGTCAGAGAGGAACAATGATAAAGATGATGGTCTCTTTTTACTTGGCTGAGTCAAATGGCGTAGCAAGAATAGGCGGCTTAGAACACGTCCCCGGGGACTGCTAAATGGGAAGGCAAAGAAGTCGGAATTGGTGGGCTTGTGCACAAGAAGAGCGCCTTTTTGCAATCGCGCAAAGTCCCTTGAAACCTTAAAAAGTCTAATAACAACAAATACAGACGCTTATTCATGGCTGATGAAGACTTCGGGTTGGGCACGGGGAAGGGATCAAGGATTGATCAACTGCATCGAGAACGGCACGGCATACTTGTCTCATGCTATTGGCTGTATGCGCTCTGTATATGAACCTGCATCTGTCACTCGAACTTGCTTCCTGGTAGCTCGAACCATGAATTTTCATTCTCACTCGCTCTGAAAAGTTATAGCATGTCTTGGATTCTATACGGCAAGGGCTGGGGGGTTTGTTGCATAAATGCAATCAGAGAGAGAGAGTATGTGAAAACGACGAAAGTAACTAGAATTCCATGATCACCTGGCAACACCTATTTGGGAAATAGGTGGTAGATACTTGGAGGTTCTCAATCAGAGACGCAAAAAACAATGAGATGGGGTCGAATCTCGGGGAACACAAACATCAGTTTGAGTGTGCTGAAGCAGGGCTGAAGAGCGTCGTGAGCGGTTCGGCCATAACAAATCCCGGACGCCCCCCCTCAAAATCTCACAAGCGAGCCGCGATTGTCACACTTTACTATATTACAACACTAGGGACCGTGCCACACGGCTCGTTCCTTTTTATTCTCCTCTGCCGTCTGCACGCAATCACCCGGTTTGCGGGGGAGAATGGCTGTCAACTCGAAGGATTCGTCGGATGACGCTCAGTCCTGGCTGATCGCGACAATTCACAAGTGTCTACAGCTTCTCAGCGTTGCAATCACAAAAACTGCCGTTGCATACTATGGTCAAAGAGTCGTTCCCGTTTCCGAATTGTAAAGCGGTCAAAGCAAGGAAGAAAAATAAAAAATAAAAAGGAAGATGAGACGGGATGAAAATCGGGCGGCAGGCAAGCGAAACTCTATCTCAGTGCTTTTTATGCAGGGAAAGAAAAGATACATGCATGCGGGGAATTCGGGAATCATCGCCTGCAAACCCTTTCGGATATTCCCTCCCTATCCGAGCTCTAGAGAGCCATCGGCAAAAGACTACAACACTGAGAAAAATATGCAGAACATGCCAACATGGATGCGACCGTAATGCGCTCATCTCAGACTGAACGAGTATCTGGGGGTATATACCCATGGTAGCTCCGCCAATCTTTGCCGTAGAGCCGGTGACCTCGCTGGGACTTATCGAAAGACGAGGGAATCTGGCCATGGATGTCAATTCAATCCTGATTCCCAGTCTTCCCTATATTCTTCCGGAAATTCCGAAGTCCTTATCCACCTTCATGTGCTTCGACTCGATTTCCCGACCCTTCCCCGACTTTGAAGAACGAGACAAAGTTGTTCCGCAGTCATGCATGTGTCAGGGTGATTGCGTCCCAACCGCCTGGTGGACAACTCGAAAGCTTGATGCAGAATCTTCTCGGCTTCCTCGTCCTTGCCTTGGCTGTGAAGATTCATCCCGAGCTTGAGCATACACTTGAGCATACACTTGAGCGTCTGTACATGTTCGGCACCCAGAGTAGCCAATGACGAAGCCAGTGTTGCACGGTGTATCTCTTCAGATTCAGTGAGTCTTCCCATCTTGTTCAGAATGCTGGCCAAGTTATCTCTACTCTTGACCGTCTTGGGATGGTCAGGGCCGCGCACCTCTTCGAGGAGAAAGATGACTGTCCGCAAGAGGCCCTCAGCTTCGCTGTACCTTTTCCGGTTTGACAATGTAGATGACAGGTCGTTCATAATCTGGATACTGTCTGGATGCTTTATGCTATTCAGTTCTGTCATGGCCTCGAGAGTCTTTCGTTGCAGCCTTTCAGCCTCTTCATATTCTCCCGATTTGCGAAGACAGTACGCAAGATTCTGCATACTCCAGAGTGTGCTTGGATGCTTATCGCCCAAGATGGCACACATTCTCGCTAAGTTCTCACGATGCATTCTCTCGGCTTGCTTGTACTGCCCCAGCCTCTGAAAGGTTATGCCAAGGTTGTTCCGTGTCTCCAATGTTTGGGCGTGATCCTCACCAAGCACAGCTTGTGTTTTGGCTACCGCCGCTTCATGTAGCTCATGAGCTTCTGTAAGTTTTCCTTGCGTACATAGTACGCATGCGAGACGATCCATACTCATCAGCGTGTCAACATGATCTGTCCCTAGTAGCCTCTGTCTTGTCTCAAGAGCTTCACGATGCAAGTTCTCAGCTGTAGCGTATTGACCAAGAATCTGGTTGCTTTCAGCGGTTCTGAACAGTAGTTCCGACAATGTCAACTTGTCGTCGAAGTCTGCACGGAAACTCAAAGCTGAGTGAACATGTGGCAGATGACTCGTCCAGAAATCTCTTGATGCATGATCTGGTAGAGGATAGACTTCTCTAAGCCGTTGCACCACCTCATATACACATGTGTGCCACTGGCCTTTCACTCTCATCCAGTTTCGTATAGCGAGTCGGACCAGTCGATGTATGTCGAAGAAGGCAGAGTCCATGTGCTCGTTGATAATAGCGTATCCTTTGAGGGCGCCGATTGCCTCTTCTGCATCTAATCCTTCACCGCCATCCGGAAGCAAGGATCTCGGGATTGTTCTTTCCGATAGTAGACTGAAGAAACGCAAGTATGATTCCGCAAGTGGATGCTCACGTATGACATGTTCAAACGAGATCAGCCAAGTGGTGATTACGGGGTTCTTGGAATTTTTGTACCTGCCGCGGTCTTCAAAGTCTGTGCTGAGCAACCGGATGAAGGTGGAGTCCCCGGACTGGCAGTACTGAAGGTATTTAGTGGTCGTTATACGAGTCTTGCTCATGTATGCCGATGCCTGTTTGATAGCTAACGGGAGGTTCTCTAAGAACCTGAGCAGCCCCATTGTGCTTGTTGAGTCGCTTGTTTGTTCTTCGCCAAGGTCTTGTCGTAAGAGAGTTAGGGCATATGGATCTCCAAGCGAGCCCAGAATCAATCTATGTCCCTTGGGAACGCCGAGCCTGACGGTGACCTCGTAGTTGCGAGTGGTTACCAATATCGAGCCCTTTCGGTTAAAGGGAAGGGAATCGAAGAGGCTCGCTTCACCAAAGAGCAAGCTCAGATCATCCGCATTGTCAACAATCAACAGCCAGGGGCCCGAGATCTCCCGGCTCAGGGCATCTTTGACCAGGAGCCGTATATTGACATTCTCGTCGTCCGCTTGCCTGAGACGAAGCTCTTTAGCTATTGCACGGTATGCATTTTCAAAGCCAGCAACGTCAAGCGCAGGAACCCAAAATACCGAGCAATCTGGATGAGTGGCGCGTAGACGGTAGGCAAGTTCCAGTGCAACTTGTGTTTTTCCAGTCCCCCCAAGCCCGTGAATAATAGTTCGCTGACAGTCATCCCTGTCTGCACTAGGCGGGCTGATTTCGAGAAGCTGCGCCAGCTCAATCTCTCGACCTGTGAAATTTCTATTGCGCCCGAATGGCACAGCCCAGCCAGGCTCTTGCGCCGCTGGTCATCGTCAGCGGGTAATGAGACAGTAACAAGTCGAGGTGTTGTAGAGACGTTGCAGCTCACCTATGGCAGGTCGATGACCACAAGATTCACGACTTGCGCTACCTTGCCTCTTTTGAATTTCTTCCATCAACCTTCTGAAGGCCTCTCTCCTACCCTCTCCATATATTAGAGGAAGGTATACGCCGAAAAGGCCAAACAGGGAATAAGCTCTGTCCTCCTCACGCTTGGTCTGACGCCCTTCCGCCCATGCCAGCCGCTGAGATATGCTATACTTTGATACAAGATCTCCACGGAGTACACTATTCGGGATACCTGTAATCTCTTGCAGTTCTTGAGCTAAGGAGGCCTTGTCGCCTATGAGCTGGCCGTGGCAGGTGAAGAACTCTACTGACGCCGGAGCCAGCAACTCTTGTAGCGTCCAGCCTCTAAAAAGCCATCTGCTCGTACGAAAACGATTATCGTGACCATCTTCGCTGTCAGATACATCTGCAAGGTATACATAACATTTCGTCGAGTTTTGGTACCACCGAAACATGGAATTGATAGCCTCGTTGAGCTCAGTGCTGTTTGATTTATTGATACAACATGTGTCTACCCAGAAGTAGTGCAGCCCGTCAGCAGCTGCTTGGTGCCCACAGAACTCTATCTTTTCGTATCCTTTCTTGTGTTTTCCGGTCCTAGATAAGATGTCTTCGAATATGACTTCGTCGCCATCATTTCCCCACGTATGAGAAAGTATAGCGTACGGTGGTATGTCATTGGTGATGTCGTGGGTGAAGGCAAGAGTCCCATCTTGGCTGAACTTGAGGAGTCGCATAGCATGAAACTACCTAGTAAATAAGAAATGGCGCTGGGTAATCAGATAGTTTGTGAGACTAATCGATCCCGTCCATAATAAAGTGAGGTATCTCAATCCCGGTACGATGAGGCTCAATCTGACTGTGCGGGGTTATCAGGCAACGACGGCATCATGGGCATCTGCAGGTCGCCCGGTAACATAGCAATTTATGCTCGGATTCACCAAAAAGGCTGTTGGGGTCCGTCTGAGCAATCTTGTGCGCAGATCGCGGCTTCTGGTTGGACTCGTGATGCCCATGGCTGCTGATGCAGAGCAGCCCAACATGCGGACTGCAATCCACATCAACATAATCGTCGACCTACTCATGATTCTGAGCACCCTCATCCCAGAAGCAACCCCGTATCCACTTATTTATCTATATTTTGAGTCAACCATTTATGCCAGTCGTAATTCTCGCGTACTTATACTCGAAAACGCCCAAGTCTAGCCAATCACCTTCCTGCTCAGCCCACTACTCACTTCCGAGCTCACTAGGTTAGAATATTTAGCGTCCAGGCACACAATATTCTCAAAGTCAACTACTACATCGCTGTCAATGCTCGTATGTGATCAATTCCTAAAATAGCCCTAGGTCCAGCTTAGACCAGTATATTAGTATTCTGCCCCGCTTTATGTCTACGCGTCAAGAGTTTATTCCGAGCTGTGAAGTTCGTAAGTCCGCGATGATACCCACTCTATTCATACTAAGTCGTCTTCATGCGACCTGTCTTTGTCCTTGAGTGCTCCTTTTCAGGAACTCCAATATTTTCATTGTCAACTTGTCAACATGCTACTTCGTATCATTTTAACAGTTTCCGTGTGCGCTTTCATATACAAGTCCATGATCATGATGTGTCCTTGCTCCGCGGATTCGCAGGAACAGTTGGGTGCCGCCCAAACCGCAGCAATAACCAACGCCGCACAGTCTCTCCTGGCTCTACTAGACTCGACTCAGCACGCAAAAGCACTATTACCTTATGAGACACTAGAAAGCGCGGTACCTACTTACTTTCCCATGCCTGGCCGTCCAAGCTTCAATTTTGTTGGGGAGCAATATGGCCAGTCAGTGTGGTCCAATTTTCCCGTCAGCGATGTCCTTCGTCCAGGCTTGCGTCTTGGAGACCTCACTCCAAAACAGCATGGTGCTGTCATGGAGCTGCTACGGGCAACTCTGAGCGATCGCGGATATCGCAAAGTCCAAGAAATCATGGGCTCAGACCAAGCATTAGCCGATGAGGGCGTCCCGTATGCCGCTGGACGCGCCGTCTATACAATCGCAATCTTTGGAGAACCAAGTCCTACGAACCTATGGATGATCCAATTCGGCGGCCACCATCTTGCATTGAACATGGCAATATACCAGGCGCAAAGTGTTCTTTCTCCTGTCCTGACGGGCGCGATGCCAGCCAACTATATGGAGGCAGGTGTCGCTAAGCGGGTGCTAGCGGACGAGAACGACAAGGCATTTGCCCTTTTTGACTCATTCGACAATGACCAACGGGCAGAAGTATCAATCAACCACCCTGTCTCCGATGTTGTGTATGGGCCAGGCGAAGACGGCAAGATCTTACCTGCAGTGGGCTTGAAAGCATCCATGCTAAACCAAACACAACAAGCCATGCTGTTCGAGCTCATCGCCGAATGGGCTGGCATTCTCAACGATGTTCATGCCGCTCCTCGCTTGCAAGAGATCCGTACAGATCTTCAAGATACATTTTTCGCGTGGAGCGGGCCTAGCACACATGAGCCTGGCCGGAATGGGGCATCGTACTTTCGCATACAGGGACCGAATCTTCTCATTGAATTCTCACCCCAATTTCCCGGCGGCGATTTGACCAACCATGTGCACACGATATATCGAGATCCACTGAGATCATATGGTCGCACCTTGGCCAGAGAGTACGAATTGCTATGAGGCACTCATGCTACGATGAGGATTTATTGCGACCGAAAGCACACATTGCCCCGATGATGAGATCATGCGTGTTTGCAAAAATGGCAATGCTCGTATGTAGGCCATTGCTTGATGCGACGATCGTGTGCCAAACGCGACTTTATGTGCACATGATATCAAACATTATACCAATGATATCATATATACCACCTGGTCTTTGAACAGACCTTTGACACCAGTGATGGGCATGGTATTGTGAGGTTGTGGTGATAAGCGACGGGACCACGCCGAGACGTACTGCGGCCTGATGGATGGCAATTGCCAAGAGAAGATGAATTGAGAGTATGTCGAAGCACAGTTTGTGATGAAATGATCATCTACTAAAAGCCTCTAGTCTCGGATCAATCATATAGCACTCTGAATCCCTTTCAGTCTTAGTACCTATATATACATACCAATTACTGTCTCTACGAAGTAAATGCCGACCAGGTGTCTCTACCCTCATATGCAAAGACTCACTCTACCTAGCATACTTTGTGTATGTAAGTAATGTTTCAGGTTTTGCTTACCCTTGTCGACAATTGTCTGCCGGAAAACTGTAGCGTATTCCACCACCACGGATACCCCCATGTAAAGCACCAGGGTACTGAGTAATAAGCTTTGGTCCCCCTAAGCTAGAAGATTCCGAGCCCACACTGCTTCTATGAAAGAGCGCTAACATCAAATGCCAAATAGGGTTGCGAGCATGTTGCGATCGTAGTGGGTTCGTTTATGGTCACATTGTCCCACGATTCTCTTCTGTTGCGACCTGTCACGACATAAAGTTTCGGTGCCAAAGTAGTCATACTGTTGTATTCATTTTCATGATTTGCAAGCATTCTGTGGATTTCATCAATTCCCACTGATGGCTTGTTCGGCAGTTTAGCGACAAGCGGCTCGGAAGCTGCCGGCGAGCCTATGTACTGTTACTCCACCATGACTATTCATGGGCGGCTGCAGCTGGATGGATCTCAGGCAAGTCTCCTTAAATTCGACACAATATCGCTTAGATCGACCGGGATGAGGCAAGCAATAGAATATCTATCTAGACTCGCGTCCGCTGAGTATATCACTCTCCTGTCAAACCATTGCTATCGGCTTGTTTGTGTAGCCTTACACTCTTTTCCTCCCCAAATTTATTGCCATTACACTCGTTTCTGGTCCTGGAAGACCATCACGTTCCCTACATTTCAATTCGATAGCTTTGTGACGCCGTTGAGATATTTGAAAGTCGCCAAGCCACATTCCACCTTGGCAAGTTATTGGCACGTTGCGACTTGCCATCATGAAACAACATTTCTTGCTCAATATTATATCAGCAGGTATAGCCAATGCGGCTTGCCGTGCCGGGAACCGCACAAGCACTGCTCCCTTTTACGCTGTCACTAATGCCACATCCTATTCGTTATCTTATAGCCCGGGCGCTACGAACTACTCTCCCTCTGTTAGCCCAACAATCACCAAAAGTCACAGCAGTACTTTGAGCAGCGTAACGATCACTACGAGCGTCACTTCATCCGCCGCCACTACTTACACAGCTGTGCCATCCGTGATTGGCACGGCAGAGGGATTCGCATCTGGTGTCACCGGTGGAGGCAATGCATCACCCGTATACCCAGCTGATGTTGACGAGCTGGTTGCTCTGCTCGGTAGCGATGAGCCCCAAGTAATTGTGCTCAACAGGACGTACGACTTTGTTGGCACCGAAGGAACGACGACGGATCTCGGGTGTGCTCCTTTCGGAACAATCGAAGAGGGTTGTCAATTGGCTATCAACGCGGTCAATTACTGCGGAGATAATGCCAACGTTACCATCACCTACGACACGGCGGCGGGCAATCCGATATACGTGCACTCGAACAAAACGCTCATTGGTTTGGGGAGCTCTGGTGTCATCAGAGGCAAGGGGTTGTATATGACCGGTGTCTCGAACATCATCATCCAGAACATCCACATCACCGAGCTGAATCCGATGTAAGTTGATGTCGACTGTTATTTGTATCTTCCGGCTACGATCCTAATGTCACATTTCTAGGTTCGTATGGGGTGGAGATGCATTGACCATGTACGGTACTGATCTCTTATGGATTGACCATGTCGAGGCGAGTCCCTATTCATTGTTGTGGGTTCCACTTGCAACAAACTGACAGTCGATACAGACCTCGAATATTGGCCGTCAACACTATGTCACTGGATTCAATCCCAACACTAGAATGACATGGTCCAACAACTTCATCAACGGGCACACAAACTACTCCGCCACCTGCAATGGTCATCACTACTGGACATTGGAACTGCTTGGCACCGGTGATCAAATCACGTTCCTCAGTACGTTTGACTGCCCCATTCCATCAGACGCACGAGATACGAAGACTGACTTACCACTAGACAATTATGTATACATGACATCCGGCCGAAGCCCCGCCCTGAGCGGCGCGACACTGTTTCACGCCGTGAACAGCGTGTGGGCGCAAAACAGCGGCCACGCGCTCGAGGGCGGGTCCACCGTTGGCGGTCTCTTCGAGGGCTGCGTCTTTGACAATGTGACCCAGATTGTTGGAGACGACATTACCATCCCGCTGTTCAGCACCAATAGCAGCATCAGCAACGACTGCGTCGCCAAGCTGGGCCGGCCTTGCGAGGTCAATGACTATGCAAACTCTGGCACTTTTAACCGGTCCGACACGAGCTTCTTTGACAGCTTTGACGGCCTGACTGTCGCCGCTCCCGTGTCTGTGGACGAGGTCCTGGCTAATGTCCCGAGCAAGTGTGGTATTGGACAGTTATAGTCGAGTGCTCGAATACTTTTTTACCGTGGGCATATTAAAGCATCAATAGGTCGTCCCTGGTGTCAAAATTCTACATGGTGCCAAACAATTGGACGGCCTGTCTATTATTCTCTATTACTCTTGTATTAATACTTTTTAATGTCGCTCAATCTTGCTTCAGGAATTATATGCCTGTACGAGTCGTGTTTGCTGATGTCCATGGTAACCAAGCTTGTTCTTGCTAGAGGTATAGCTGACGAGATGGAGAGGCACGCAGGGCCATGTTCATCGCCCGGGAATGATGCCGTCTGTGAATTCGAGGCCAGAATGTGACAGGATATGTATATGTACTGATAGCAATATAGCCCCGAAACTTATCCAAAACTGAGCATTTGGGTAGATCGTCGGAAGGCCATGTTTGCAAATTTTGCATGTGGAAAAGTAAGCGTTGATCACTGGGTCTCGAACCGGGGCTTGTATACATATCACATATCACGCTCTGAGAGACCCCGTGATCCCACATTTCGACTGCCTCGAGGGCAAAGAGGCAGTAATCTGTCATTAATTACCTGGAAACTGGAATAGGTGAGTATTCCTGGGTTTGAATATCATGTGCCTGCCTTAATCTTCAAAGGCTCGACAAGCGCCGACTCGCCACTGAGAGCAGTTGGGGGCTTTGCACGGCGGTGGGTCTAGATACGGAATGAGTTGTATATAAATGCCATTTCGGTAAGATCTACTACTTAGCCCCATGCCGGCAGTAGCTTGAACAGCCTTATCTGATTATTTGAATCAATGACTTGTAAACAGAAACAGTCCGTGTTAGATTGTCCCATTAATTGTAAATGTATGATATGAATGGAATGACTGATTTCTAGAGAGTCAATAGGGCTCTGTACGATCTGAATGTTTTGGAAATGACAACTTGAGCCGTGCTCGCACAGTCATGAACGCTCCCGTTTGTGAGGTCTTATCCACGGTCATAACGAGGCAGCGGTCACAGTGGACCAACTTCATGCAATGTCCCCAACCAACGTATGCACGACTGCACCAATCCAAGGATCGGGATGTGTCCCTTCCCACCAACTGCTCCATAGATCTCCTCCCATCAGCCAATGGCCGGGCGCGCACCACTGAATATCTTACCAGTTCGGCCAATCTTGCAGAACTTGGGGCTCGGCCCGGCGGGTACGCCTTCTAACTAACGAGCCCGAAGGCAATACTCCGCCCTGCTTGGGCGGGAATTTTCTTAGAATATGCGGTGCAGCATGGTGCAGCACGTTATGTTAATATCTATTTAGCACATTGTACCCGATAGAGTGATAGGAAAGCTGTCGCCAAGGTTCTGAAGAGGAGACGATCGACATGAAAGTCTGCGCAGTGTCTGTGATTGGAAGGGTTCCCAAAGTTGAGAGGGTATTCCATACATGTCTACCGCTTCCCACATAAATGAAAATTGGGAGAAGACATCCTGACATCAACCAATAGTCTATGTTCTGCAACAAAGATTTTCTGCTCATCTCGATACTTGAACCATGTCATCCGCCAAAGATCTTTTAGAGACCCTGCAAAAGTTTGATCCGCAGTCACTCGATGGCGATGAGCCCGAGCGTATTCGCGTGCGCGAGAAGTTGACCGAGGTTTTGCGTCAAGTACAATCTCCTTGGGACGTGTCATGGGAGCATAATTGGGTTAGTATGGCAACCGTGTCGGCTGGCAAGACACTGGTAGACGCGGGTGTCTTTGAAAAATGGGTGCGTGTTATTTCAATGAGCGTTGATTCTTATACATCATGTATAGTGAATTCTGTTGTGTGATGTCCCCAGCTGACATTGTCACAAGAATGAGGCTGGCTGGAAGCCCCAGACAACTGATGAGCTCGCTGCCCTCACTGGTGCAAGCGCCGACCTTTTGCGTAAGTGACGATTGCAGCCTTGGATAAATCCCTGGTCAGACAAGGTTTGTATTTTGCTCATTCACGTACCCCCGTACAGGCCGTCTTCTTCGCCATGTCGCGGCGAACCATCTCCTGCGTGAAGTCGGCCGCGATACCTACGCCGCCACCCCCTGGGCCAAGGCCTTTGTCTCGTACCCCTTCCTCGCGGGCACCTATGGCGGGTTCAATCACGCACAGACCGAGGTAAACAACAAGCTCCCGGCGTACCTGGCATCCATCCGGTACCAACACCCCTCGGACCCCAAGGACTGCAACTTTCAGTTTACCCACGGTGCCGGCTCGGGCCCGTGGCAGCTGCTCAGTACCAATCCGCAACTCGGCGCCGACTTCAACCAGGCAATGGAGAGCCACAGTCGGTTCAATCTGCACAGCTGGACCAGCCTCTATCCGACACAGAGCATCGTGCAAGCAGCCAAGGAGAGAGGGACCGGGGGCGTGCTTGTCGTGGATGTTGGCGGCAACAAGGGATACGATCTAGAAAAGTTCCGACTCGTGCATTCCGAGGATTGTACCTCGGAAAGTCTCGTTCTCGAGGAATTGCCTGAAGTGCTGAAAGATGCACCGGAACTGCACTCTGCAATCAAGCCTGTTGCCTACGACTTCTTCACCGAGCAGTCCGTGAAAGGCGCCCGGGCGTACCTCATGCACAATGTGATCCACGATTGGGATGATGACACAGCGGTGAAGATCCTGACGAATGTTACGGCCGGGTTCGAAAAGGGGTACTCGCGACTCTTGCTCCACGAGAGCATTGTGGACGAGGTCAAGCCAAAGGCCAAGGTGACGGCGTCGGACATGTCCATGCTATGCTGGTTTGCATCGAAAGAACGGACCGAGACTGAGTGGAACACGCTGCTGACACGAGCGGGATTGCGGCTGTTGAAAATATGGAGGCCAGAGCTAATTGACACGGCCGAATGCATAATCGAGGCCGAGTTGGCTTGACTGCCATGAACTGAGTTTTACTTTGGACACGAGAGAAAACATGTAGATCTTGAATATTTGTCAAGGCTTCGAATGAGCTGCCCGAAAAATGCCATTATTTTCTTTTTTACAAGTAATCGTGGGTATTATATATACATGGTATAATTATATCTCACAGCTGAGTACATATGATTTTGTTCATCAAATATGGTTCACGTCTACTCGTCATCCGACTCATATAGGATGAAACTGCTGACCGGCCAGCCATTGGCGGCATTGTACTCGGTCACGTTGGTTGTGCCGTGAAGGACCTCATATCTCGTCATGTAGCCGGGAATTGTGGCGTTACTGTCGCCGTAGGTCTGGTTGGCGCCGAGGACCGAAGCGACGCGCATGCCGACCTCTTGTCCCTCGAACCAGGCTCCCTGTAGGAAACCATAGTACTCTGCCGACTGAGCCTCACCGGCGAACCACAGACGGTCGACGTTGGCCCTCAGGTTTTGGTGCTTCTCGAGAGTCAGACCGGCGGGCCAGTTGCTGTAGGATCCAAATGCCCATCTAAGTGATTGTTAGTCATGTATTCTCAGCGTTGCATAGGATTCGTGTCACTTACTCCTCTTGACTCCATCTGGGGTACAGGAAAGCAATTGGTTCGGGAATCTCAATATCAGGGAACATGGCCTTCAGGACCTCCATGCATTCGGCCTTTGTGACCTCGTCATCCTGCTGCTCAATACGGTAGGACTCATCACCAACGACGGTGGCAAAGATGATGTTGGAGCCGGGCAGGAAACCCTCGGTGGAGAGGGACTGCCACACGGGGTAGTAACCACGAGTGTCGGGGTCAGCGTACAAAAAGTACTGAGTGTCTGCGTCCCAGAACGTCTCGTTGAACTGCATAAAGACCTTGGTGTATGTGCCCATCTGGAACTGCTCAATCACTTCTTGCTTCCAGCGAGGCAGAGCCGGTGTGAACTCGACCACGTCGTTCTGCAAGACACCGAGAGAAAAGGTGGAAATGGCGTGCTCAGCCTCAATGCAGCTGCCGTCGGCAAGCTCAACAACCACACCGTCTGTCGAGTAGTTGACGCCAGTAACAGTCGAGTTGAGCAAAAGACGCTCGTCGTCGTCGGCCAGGAACGTGCTGGCCTCGCCAATGATGAAGGCATTGAAACCACGCGAGTCGACGACCAGGTTGTTGGCGTCGCCGAATTGGTTAAAGGTGACGTTGGAACCTGCGATACCAAAGACGAAACTGCTGGCCTCGGGCGAGTACGACGTCTCCCAATCCCAACTCCACCACTCGACTGCCTGCTTGTGCATATCCTTCTTTGGCTTCCAGTCGGCCAGACGGAAACCGGTGCGGGCGTCAAAGTCTTGCAGATTGTTGGTCAGCATGACTCCCGAGTCGTCCTCGGCGACATCGTAAATCTCATCCCAGACGTCCAATAGATCCGAGAAATCAGTATAACCAGTCTCGTCGTATGTGAGGATTGAGCTGTAATTCGAGTACGTGTTGGTAAGGTTGTACTTCTTGCCCAACGTCCAAATGGGGTTCTCGGGACCGTCGGCGCCCAAGCCCTGAATCCAGTTGGCACCAAGCTCGATGGTATAGGGGCTGCCATCGGCCTGGTAGCCAAAGCTCGTATGCGAAACTCTGCCGCCAATGTGGTCTTGGCGCTCGACAATCAGGAAATCTGTGACTGAGGCATTGGACAAGGCCTGGGCGGCTGTGATGCCAGCGACACCGGCGCCGAGAACGGCGACCTGGGTCTTGCGACAGGAACTTGTGCTATCAGCATCCTCTCGGATCGCCAGTGCATTAATTCCAGTGGCTAATAAGCCGCAAGAAACGGCGGCTAGACGTAATAAACTATTCATGATGACGAACTTTTTATTAATATTAACAAGAAGGGGCTGCGGTCAGAATGAAAGAGGGCACCGAGATCCAAGGAACTGGTTCAAGAGCTCAGGGACCAAGATGATGTGGAATGGACCTCTTGGTTATTATAAGACCACATTCCTCTGTTGGAGAACGACTCCATCGCATTGATCGGCAACTAGGTGCCAGGCCAAGCCAAGATTGCAGTCTTGTCATTAAACACGATATCCTGCTGCATATCCAGCTGCCAGGTACCTTGATAGTAGTACGTAGCAGCAGCAGCAGCCGGCCGGTCCACTCCAAGTGTGCCAAGATAAACCCGCCTGCGGATACTGGCGATGCACTCCGCAAATGCCATGACCCGGATCTTGAAATGTACCCAGCCGAAAGGGCCCTGGGCGATCTTTAGCGTCCGTTGCTCGCTATGATCCAATCAGGAACCAAATCCCGTAAAGACTTGGGACTTTTTCACTGAATATAGTCTAGTCAGTATGGAAAACAAGTCGCTCCCCATACTATGTACTCTTTTCCATGTGGGCCCTGTCAAGCGAGAATCGAATGTGCAGTAACGCAGGAACGGGGGCTTCTGGGGGAACGCTTGGGCATGCCCCATCGGGGAATGACAGGATGGAATGACAAACGTTTGGCTTTACCAAGGAAACCTTAACTGATTATCTGATTGACATGTACTACAACTTTCACATTGCGCGTATTTACGACGAGGCCTCGGGATATTTGGGAAAAGATACGGAGTATTGCCTTGGACAAGAACAAGACAAACAGAAACGTCTCCCTGCTTATCTTGCCGAGGTTTGTGAACCCATGTTTATCAGCTGGCTTGTACAAAGTGCTGGGCATTTTCATTATAGGGGGCAAAAGATAACACTTGCATATTTCCATGCCGGCAATGCAAGCGATGTTGAAATGGGCATTTCTTATGCCAAGACTTGGATTTCCATATGGGAGAACAGATGATCTAGATGTTATTCGATCTTCCTGCCTTTGCTTGGCATACTGAAACCCTACCAACATTACTCACAGTTTTCCCCGCATGCACGCTACAAGTAGTCCGACTCCTACGGCGCCAGCTCTAGCTGATGGGTGTGCTGTGGAGATCATCGTCAACGTCCTGTGGGGGGCCTTGTGCCCTGTTGATAAGAACCATCCTCTCCCATGTCTCGCTTTCGCTCGACATCATGTCATAGTAATGTCGGTGATATCGGAATTATGCAAGTGCATTACCACAAAGCCAATGATGCGCCTTGCACCTGACGGGCAATATGTACTGGCTTGAATTTATTTGCATTTGTATCACTGTATACGTAGAAAGGTAGCATGCAATGGCTCTAATTGGGCTGTTCGATCCGAGATCCTTCAATTGAAGGATCATCGCTGTAGACACCTCAGCCTCGGATACGGGACGCTGCTAGATGGGGTGGAAGATGATCAACTATTAACGTCCTAGAACAGAATCAAGAGTTCGTATACAATGCCGTCTTATTTTTGCAACACAATGGATAGACCTATGTAAACATATAGGGCAATCGCTAAACTCCTAGCAATCCATATTCTCACAATGAGACGAGATGGTTTCGTGGATTGCATCAATTTGGATTGATTGACATGTGTCTATTAGCATAAAATTATATTTAATATCTGGTCTTTATGTACCATGTGTGAAAGTGATTCACTTGACGATCAAGCTTCAACCTCGACTGCTCTGACAGTTTCACCGTGGATAGTCACTCTCGGTCCAACAAAGTTCTTGCGCCCGTCCACAATCCACTGCAGTCCAGAAATGAGAAAGATGATGGCAAATGCAACAATGCAGTAATTCATCGTAGTTCCATCGACCGGAATGGCAGGAGGGAACAAGAACAAGACAGTCGTGACAATGGTATAGACCAGGCCGATGATGTTTGCGGTCCAGCCCAACCACTCGGGCAGCGCGAATGCTCTCTCAGGCAGCTTGCGGCGCGCAGACATTACACTCAACGCGACGGGGATGCCGTAACTTAGACCAAGCGCGGTGACGGCAGAAGCAATGATGGCGTTAAAGGCAACCGTGGATCCCAGGTAAATCAGTCCAAAGACGACAACGACTCCCACATTCAAGTACAGCGCGTTCATGGGCACGTCCAGGCGCTTGTGGACCTTCCACCACAAAGAAGATGCAGGAAGACCGCCATCTCGGGCAAAGGCAAAAACCATACGCGACGAAGTGGTCAGGCAGGCTATTCCGGCAAAAACCAGACACAAGAAGGGGAACATGAGGAGGCAGACAGCACCCGCTTTGTTGTTGGTGGCAATGTAAAAGATTTCCAGCAGCGGTCCCGCAGTTGATGAAATAATGTCCGAGGCATTGTCTGCTCCGCCAGAAGCAAAGAGTAGCACGACCAAGAAGAGAAATCCGGTGGAAATGCCAATGTACTGACACTCAATCATGACCTTGGGACCATCCAGAGCGGCATCGGGAATTTCTTCAATCATGTGGGCCACAGCGTCGAAGCCCGTGAGACCAAGACCTCCTTGCAAAAGGCCCAAGAGCCAAGCGACTCCGTCGGGCCAGCCAGTGGTGTTGATAAACGTCGCAAACACGTAGCTGGGTGTGGCATAGTCGGGTGCAGCGCAGGCCAGGACCGTGATGGAAATCGTGAGGAAACCGGCGATGCTGAAGAACAAGACGAAATGGTTGAGCTTGGGCAGAAGCGGCGTAAGGAACGCATTGACCGCGAATGCCAAAAATGTAATCGCCAAGTAGATCAGAAACTGGTGCCATCTCTGTGAAACATAGTCGGGATTGAGCAGAGAGATCATGTTGATGACGAGCGAGCTGGCCAGAGAGCTGTTGGTAGCCACCAGGGCGACCCAGCCAGAAACGCTAATCCATCCCGTCGTCCATGAGAGTCCTCGTCGTAATGACTTAGGTGCAATCATGGCTACCCAGTGGTACTGTCCTCCGGCCGTGGGATACGCCGACAGGAACTCGGCCAGACTGGCAGCGAGCGACAAATTGCAAACGCCGGCCGTGACTAGACCCCATACCACGGCAATGGGACCACCGGACGGCAGTGCCAGCGATAGAGAGGCGGATAACGCAGTCCACGAGTTCAGAATGGCAAAAGCCAACCCCAGCATAGTCCATCGACTGAATCTGCGCTCAAAACTCTGGGCATGGCCCATTTGCTCCAATTGCACCTCATCGGTGAGAGGCTGCTCCGTCTTTTCCATCTTGGCACCGTTGAAAGCCACTATAGTGGTGTAACAGATTGAGGGTACCGAGATCCGTGTAGTTGACGCTGAGTAAGGCCGTCAACGTCGGTATCCTCATTGACTTGGGACCCGAGTCACAAATGAATTGTTATATTGAATGGAAGATCTTTCAGCACTAAACACAAATGTCTGCGGGTCCCAAGGAGTATAAAAAGGTTGCCAGACGTTTTGACTATATCTAATCCATTGCGGGGAGGAGAGCGCAACTACTACTGTGATAGGGATACTGGACCTAGTACTATCTGCCAAACCCCACTGAGCAGTTCGAACTCGACCTAGCTGCAGCGGCTGCATAAGCCTGAATGATAAATGCAGCTTCGGGCTCAGTTAGCAGGAACACCTTTGGCACCGAAATTCCAAGCACTAGATGTATACCTGTTTCCATGACACATCATCTTTGGTCAGATTGGAGTCCATGGGTGACAGAAGAACCCTCCAAGAGCCCTGAAGACAAACGTAGGATGAGCCGTTACGACAAGGCCAATCAGTATGAGAGGCGCTATCTGTGGACGACGTTCCCAGCGGAGATTGGAGCGGAGGGGGGCCATCTGATAAACAGCACTGATACGTTCGCTATAACCCAGCACACAGTCCCCTAGCAGCGGCCCCATATTCCAGAAATCGCCCTGTCCACCTGGGGACCTAGCCGGGATCGACACAGTAAACTTCCCCATGATAAGCATTTTCCAAGGATGGACAAGAGCGGAAGTGGCCGAGGAAGGGGTGCGCATCACACCAAGAGAGAGAGGATGGTCGTCGGGACTTTATCTCGCCATTGGGTTTAGCGCGCAACATCATGGAGATTTAGTGACTGTATGCCATGGTTCGGTGAAGCTTATCACTTGGAGGCAGTTCTGGTCAAGCATATTAGTTTAGGTAGTAAGCCTGGGAGGCAACTTGAATTTGACGCCTGACCCTTTCTTGGTGCGCGTTCGAGTGTAAATACAATACCTCTAATTAAATTATAGCTGTCGCATGTAAGAATTGACGGGTTGTGGACAGAAGGGCCGAGCTTTTAATATAAAAAGGAATTCAGGAAAAAGTTTTCATAAGTTATAAGATTTTTTTAATTTTTATTCAAGAAGTAATAAATTTATATTCTATATAATTATATTATTGGCTCTGACTGGTATAACCTGTGGATAATCTAAAACACAAGGGGTACAAAAGTTATACTCAAGTTCTACACCCTCGACGCTACGGGAAGACTGCAATTGCCTTGTCTCTGCCAATCGCGACTCGGTGAGGCATCGCCGTAGGATTACGTATTTATATGGCATCATATATGTTGGTAAATGGAGTTTTGGAATCAGATAGCCGACAATAAAGCCTCGGATGAAGTGAGGAGAGTTGACGTGATACACGAGTACTTAGTTAACCACAGGCCTTGAGTTGACAGAGTTGAATTTAAAGACCATACTACATACGGTCTTCTTTCCATCCTTATGTCTAACCATATCCCCCTGCACGAATGACCGTCATTGGGTTGGAGAATTTGACGTGTCGAATTGTCCGCCTATTCCCGAAAGAAGCTCTGAATGTTCCTGCCTGCATTGCTGTGGGTCTATGCGGGTTCCGGCAGCTGAGACCATGACATCGTGTTCATATTCTTTCGTCTGTGAACAAGTATCCGGCTCGCATGTCATAGATGAAGCGTCCCTTCCTCCCGCGGTTGAATTTTTGTCAGACCTTCTCATGGTCAGAAGTGGTTTAAAATATAGATAGAACATGAGAAATGTGATATGCTTGCCCTTTGCTTTTCGAGGGGCCATGATGTCTTGAAGCACTTGGCATTGTCGCTGGCGTGACTGGCAACTTGGGTTGAGGTACAATTTTGTCGTAGAAGGTTGTGTATTTTGTTTCAGCATCTGGAATCAATTCTATATGATGGGACGGCAAAAGAGTCAAGATATAACCATGAATCAAAAATATTTCTTGGCAACTACGAAACACATGTTGAGGACAGCCTTCAGCTCCATGACACCTTTTGAGCGTATTCCTGTAGGCAGTATGTTGACAGCAACAATTGTCACTGGAAAGAGAGCGAATCAACTTCAGCTTGTCATGTGAAGCCATATGTGACCCCAAGATGAGGTCGCGCAGACTGTGTAGAATGCTTACAGCCATGCGTTCTACAAATTGGACAGTCAAGGTGCGAGTCGGGGAACAATCTGAGTTGGATCCTGATCTGGCATAGCGCCGTTTATCAGCAGGCACACACTAGAGCCGTACCGTACACTTAATGTGTTGAGATTGGTGATCCTCCGCCAATAAGAGAGCTCCCTGGCACGACTGTATCGAGCAAGTGTATTGCGCAAACACGAGAAGTGTCTATTTTCCTCGTTCAGTGCACCCCGCTTCTTGGAGTGTCAGGCTCAAATCACCCACCCACCGACCCAAAAAGTTTTGTCATTCCAGATTCAAGTCCTCGGCGATTATAGCTGCTGCGCAGAGGAAACAGCGGACTTGCGCGATACTTTGATTTTACGACAGTCCAGTCTCCCTGATCATCCTCAGAGCACTTGAGCACACTCTCAATTCATCGTTCGATCATCTTGATTCAATATCAAACAGGAAAGCGATAAACAGTAGGGTTACGACACGGTTTCACTCATTGCCAAAATCATACAGGAGGAGTCGTTACGGCGCCAAAGCTCAGCACCTTTGCCATCGGTCCTGAACCTGGAGCGCATGGTCAATGTCCTTCATCGTGGATCAGTATTGATGGGAGCACCCGACAGACGACTTCCTACAAGTCATCCTCCACGAACTGCCAAGTCTGGATGATTTGTTCCATGACCAAGGATTTGCACGTCACTTAGTAAGAAACTTATTCCATGCGCTTCCGATCTCTAGGCATTGACTCAGTGACCAGGAAGAAATAATCAGAACACTAGTAAGGACACAACTCCTCCAGCGATTCTGAGAGTTATACCATTGCTTGGGGTTGCGGCGCAATCACTCTCACTTTGCAATGATTATAGCCAAGCCTATCGCACCAAGGAAAGCTCTTGTGATCAGCTCTTCGGTACCGCATATCACATCAAAGAAATGCCTAGCTTCGGAGAAATCGGTAACAAATGGATTGCACCGTCCAACCCGACGCCTGCCAAACGGGCATCTAGCCCCCCTTTAGTAGCATCTCCCTATCGTACCGCCGCCGCTACTTCATCAGTTCCTCTTAGGGGGGCCGCCAGTGTCGTATCCACCGATCGGAGCAGCGTTTTCGACCATGTTTCTACCATATCAACCGCTCCTTCGTTGGGTCCCGATCCGTTGAGCGAGGGAGGCAATATTCTTCCCTGTGAGTTTGTAGGGTATACTGGATGTAATCGTACGTTTCAACTTGACGATACTGACCGGTGGATCAACCATATCATAATTGATCATCTTGAGTACCGGCTACCGAGCAGATGTGCTTGCTGGTACTGTGATGACCACGTCTTTGATGCCTTCCAAAATCGCCCGGACGACCACGTCTCTAATGCCACCCAAAATCGCCTGGACGTAGCGACCAACTTTGGCGTTCGTCTCCGTCATATTCGCAATCACATTCTTTATGACGGGTATGGCATTTCCCAAATCAGGCCCGATTACGCCTTTCTCGCACATATCAAGAAACTTGGTCTAGTTAGCCAGGCGGTCTTTGATGAGGCTCTATCCTGGATACCAGATCCTGATTCTGGTATAGCAGATATGTATAATCACGATTGTGTGCCCCATGGGCGCCACTACCAGTACGAAGAGAGCCCAGAGATCGTCACCGCAAGAAGACCTAGAGGAAGAAGGCTACGTAAAAACCAAGAACGCAAAGCAAACCGGGAAGCTCGAGAAGATGGGAGTCGAGGACGAGGATGGGAATGGGGACAGATTCCGTCCCAAGGCGTCAGTATGACAGAAGGAAAGCGCCCCGACTCCCTTTTACATGCATCATCTCCTACGACAAAACCAGATGACCAACCGACGCTCAATCGGAGTATCCAAGAGACACCTCAGCCTCATCTGTCACTTTCATACCGTGAACTTTCGGCAGGTGCTGAAACAGACATTGGCAATTCTGAAGAAATCGACCTTGTTGCTGAGAACTCGGCGCATCAGAGAGAAGTGATGGCAGAAAGTTCCGAGCCGAAAATAGAAGAGTCTGAAGGTGTGGGTCTACATATTCCGTCAAGCACGAATGGCATGGGTGAGTTTCTCGACCTCGAAAAGTATTACCGTCAGGAATCTGGCAGACTTCCACTCATTGAATCGACCCAACCCCTTGTTTCTAGGGATATTTCCACATCTGTTTCATCCAGGAACTCCCAGGAAAGCGATGCCCCATACTCACCCTCGTACACTAGGCAGATGGGCATTGTGAGGATTCGTATTGAGCAGCTCTCTCTCTTTGACCACTGTATTGCAGATGCAAAGTCAGACGGGAATTTGGACAGCCAAGCCGATGTCACTGAAAATGAACACAACGAAGGGGTCACAGAAATCGAGTCTGGTACTGCTGAACATCAAGAGAGTGGTGAATCTTCGTCCAGTTCTCCGGGAGAACCGCGCTCGTCCTTTCAGAGATCGAATAGAAATAAAGAACATCGGAGTGGAGAGAATTCGGACGGAGAGCAGGGCGAGCAGAGGAGATTCCCGGTTCAGAAGCGACGAAAGACAAATTGCCAGGAGCAACTGATGCGGTTCGCATGTCCATATCAGACGTTTGACGCGTTCCAGGATTGTTGTAAGTATTTGCTCACCAATTGATGTACTGCCTGGAGGACGAAGGTCCGAGACAGCTAGGACCCGTCAAAAATAATAACTCATACTACATCTGCAGTGAAACCAGGCCCACGAAATCCCAGAGGCGGCTGTACAGGAATCAATCGACTCAAGTAAGTATGTATCTCAATCATAACTTGCAAGTCTAACGTCTCGTTAAGGCAACACTTGACCCGGCGCCACATGAAGTCCTATCGGTGCCAGAGGTGCTGGGGGTCATTCGACTCTCGACGCAAAGTTCAAGAACATGAAGCGCAGTTGATGCAGTGCAGTTCCAGAGAGGTGCCTCAGAATGAAAGATTCATGAGTCTAGAGCAGGAGGGAGCAGTTGACGCCGCATGCCGTTCTGCTTCCGACGATGAAGCATGGTGGAATCTGTTTCGACTTTTGATCCCGGGTATGCAAGGCCAAGACATCAAATCGTTGAGTCCTCCATACCAGCCATGTAAGACCGCATCGCTCCAATAGTTTGAGAGAGACTGACTCATGTCGACTCAGACTACATCCATCGACAGTCAAGTTTCGTTATCCCCTCTGTGACGTTGTCAAATATCTCTTTCGAACCTGTGTTGCAAGCAGCTTCGAATGGAGAAGATGCAATACTCAATACGTATGTGTAAAGCACAACCTTTGGATTTCATGTCTCTTTGCAACTCACTTCTTTGTGCATGACCGGCTCACGTACCATCGCAGATCTACCATTCCGGATGTCTTCACGCAGGGAAGCTTCAACTTTGACATACCAAGTACACCGTTCGCAATCCAGCCAATGTCTTCACAGACTATATCCATGCCACTTTTAGAGGTTCTCGATAGGGATGCCAGCGACAACGACTACTCCGCTTTCCTCAGTAATACTGGGACAAGTAGCTCTATCCAATGCAATTCCAATCTTGATTCATCCTCCTCTAGCAACAATTTCCCGCCTTCACTAACACCTGCCCCCGAGTCTGAAGCTTCGGGCTTGATGGAATCATCGATGAACAATCCGGTGCATCTGCGGAGAAATCACGAGCGCCTCCGGGAACGGAACCGCCAGAGCGAAGCAAATAATGCCGAGCTTCGCAGAACGATACACGAGACGCTGGAGGAGCTGAATCATGCCGATACTCTTGTCGAAGACTTACTCAGCTCTGAGGACATATCACATTTCTTGTATGACAAGCTTGATAGCTTATCATCCATACTGCGCTCGGCAAAAGAAAAGCTTCAATGATACCAAGCGCGACTCTAGTGAGAGCCGGAACGACACTTGAGAGCCAGGGAGTAGTTCATTTTGCTGCGGGGCAACGACAGTAACCCTCTGGCAACAGATCTAGTATGGAGCACCAGAGAGCAAACTGTTGAAAAATACTATTTTTATCCTATATACTCACTTTTATGCCGCTATAATATTATATTATAACAAGAAGCAACTGGAATTCAACAAATTTTAATTATCTTTTTATCCTTTTTTCTTCTCATTTTTTATTTCTTTTTTTTTATCTTATTTTTTATTGCCTTTTCACATTTCTTTTTCTTTATTTTTTTCTTCTCATTTTTAATAAAGCGACTTCAGCTTTCACTGCGCAATTTAAGGTTTTTCAACAATTTGCCCTTAAGGCAACCGTAATCTAGTGGTGCAGGCACGAGTTTGGCGATTAAACCTAGAATGGGCCAAAGTTATAGTGGATGGTTTTGCACTAAAGGAGCATATCTGACACAGTGTCTGTTTCTCGGTAATGAAATGAATTTAAAAGACGATTCCCCAAGCATAATAACTTCTGCGTATCGTAAATTCGTTATATCCATGTTTCCACTGAACACGGGTCCGTTAATTTGAAAGAAGTCCTTGTTGTTGATAAGGCAAATAAAGCGACAAATTGATTGCGAAGGAAATGGAAGAAGGAAAGGGTTTCCAGTGGAAGAGCGATAACACTGAGGTATGAGGAAATTGAAAGCCGTCACACCAAGGAAAAGAACGCTCAATTCCGCCTGGTTCTGTCGAATGGAAGTTGCGGTATGTCTGATGCAGGATGAGGGTTGAATAACGACAACACTCCTCGCTGGTACCTGTTGATCATGTCGGAGATCGCATTGACAATCTCATCGGCCGAGGCTCGCTCACTGACGTCTGTTTTGAGCATGCGGTCTGCAATGATGTTCAGTAGCTCTGCTAGTCCAGTCCTTCCAGTGCACCTTGGATCATTCAAGAGGGCATCGACCGTCCCATTAGCCAAGTGGTGGACTCTGGCCTGCTTCTGCTCTCTGTCCGTGACTTCATATAGCGATGAGCCACTTGTTTCTCGTGCAATGTCAAACTCTGCCATGGCTTCTGGGCCATGTAGCAACCAGACGGAGAACTCCAGAAAGACACACCCTAGTGACCAGATGTCATACTTCCTGGATCTTGGTTGCTGGTCATTGGGGGCTGCTCTTTCAAATTCTATCTCTGGGCCCTGATAAGAAGCTGTGAATGCAAGATTCGTTGTGGCCACCTTTCGGTACATTGTGGGCATATCGTGAATTTTCGAAATGCCGAAATCTGCTATCTTGAAGGTAATCTTGTCGTCTTTACCGAAGCAGAGAATGTTTTGTGGCTTAAGGTCCCCATGCCGACATTTGAAGACTGCGTGGAGGGCCTGGAGTGCAGAGACGAGACCATGCATCTGTTGCAATGCCCACAGCACATGCTCCTGAGTAAGCTCCTTCATTGGCGTTCGCCAAAAGTCCTGCAAGGTCCCGCCGTCAGTCCATGGGAATATGCTGTATGCCTTTCTCTCCCCACTTTCAATACTCATCAGATGACGGATGACGTGAGCATGCCTCAAGTCTTTGATTTGCTGGAGGATCTTATTCTCTTGTTGAAACAACTCTTTTCTGTGGAACTCCTTGACAGCAACTCTGAGTTCAGTCGTCTCCACCTAGAACTAGCTTTAGTCAAGTGCATAACGACAGTTGAAAATAGGGTAAATCAACTGTAGGCGTACCTCAAATCCTTCCTGATGCGCTGGATGTACTCGTGCCCTGTACACCAAACCACCACCGCCCCTGGAGGGGTCCTCATCATTATCATCAATGAATGGCAAGGGACACTTCTCATGAAGCTTAATAGTCTCTCCGTTGGCCTTGAGAACTGGTGCGAGGAAAAACCATTGCTTATGATTCACGAACTCCACCAAATCCTCTTGTGGACAATTTACGAACGGTATTTTTCTTTGCCCGTCGTAAGAGGTACAATAGGAATATTCATGATCGATTGACAGTGGCAAGTGTTCATCTCGCAATCCTTCTTCTATCAAGAGATTCTCTGTGAGTACGGACTGCTTGAGGATGACGAGGATGGCGAAGATTGCCCTGGCTTCCTCTGTTATGAGTCTGACAAGACTTAGCTCTGTTAGGTGGTTTTGCGTTTGACATGCCCTGGACCAAGTTCCGTCTTGGATTCCCAGCATGGATCTAACGTTCTCTTCATTAACGAGGTTCTGCAACGCGTCCCGTGGCAGAAACTCCGAGCCTAGCCCATGGTAGCATTTGGTGAACTCCTTCAATTTGACAGCCAATGGAAATGACTGGGTTGCCATGTGGACAAGCAACAAGTCAACGAATGGGGAAAGGTTAATTTGAGTGTTTAGTCCTTGAGAACAAGCTTTCTGATGAACATGAGAATGAGTGGAGACGATGAAAACCCTAGAGAATTTGACTCGGTTGTAGCCAGCGACTGAACTTGCTACGGAGTAGTGGTTCAAGAGCACTTGGGGGGTTGATTGCAACTCTGGTAGCGAGTTCAAGTCTGCTCAATGGGATGCGCGGGCCGACATCCTCGGTGTAAGCACGGTAACACAAACTCTGCCGTTGACCAAACGAAATAGGCTTCACATCACCCACAAACTACTGACGACATTCAATCAATAATAGACATGTGTCGCCCGGCTAACATGACGCGATGAGATCAATTGGCCAACATGAGCCTCGTCAAAATATCTGCGGGGTAAATGTTACTTTGCTTCTCTTCGTTGGCCATTGTCATCAGCCAATTTCATGCAGTCGTTGACACGGCTGCATCTGTCTGAAGTATGTCAGAAATCTTGGCATCTCATGACCTTGGAGGCGTGCAAGTCACTTTCCATTTCCGTGCACGTCGGCTACATATCAGCACCTCACTTAGGTCTTAATGCCACTGCTTGCCGCTTGAACGACCCGCAGATACAATCGGCAAATGTAGAGATGTCGTACTACGACATCTGAAGGGGAAGTCCGGAGCAAAATAGGATCAGTCTGTGCTTGATCCGCACAAAAATTACGAAGTACACAGTTAATGCATATGAGGCCATGTAGTCAGTACATATGGAAGGACCTCCTACACCATTCTGCAAAGCAGCCCAAAAGTCTTGGGCAACAATTGGCTGTTGAACAAATATGCCTATTCTTCTCCTTTTGTCATGTGGAACTTTCGGTTCTTCGCAGGTCTCTGTGGACCAAATCCCGCCACGCATTGCGTATAATGCAGATGAAGAGAAGTCTGCAACATCACCCGATCCTTACCTAGACTTTGTCAGACCAACCTTGGCAAGTTCTCAGCCCGGTGAATTCCATACTCGCAGGCCTACAAGACGTCGGACATTCCCAGATGCAGAGACTACCAGTAGACTTCTGAGTCGCTCGTTGTCACTTAAATCTCTTCTCCGAAGGCATACATTTGGCAGTCAACCTCCGATGGCTCCAATATTGACAGAAAGTGTGACCATCTCTGGCCAAGTCCGTCACAAGTACATGGAACTCAAATGGCTTCCACGAAATTTCGGAAAGGATTTACTCGGTATCTGTGACATGGATACCCTCGTGAAAGAAATCAAAAGCAAAACACGAGACTTTGCAGATAGAGAAACTCAAGACTTGAAGGATTTTATCCGCAACAAAGCTCCACAGCTCTCCGTCATGCTACTTTATTTCAAAGACATTGGCCTCATTGAGCAATTCTATCGGCACGGCATCACGGACTCACATTTCCCCCTTGACTCTAGGCAGGCCGATGACAACCCTGACCAGATGCACGTTACACATCCACGGGCAACATTGGATATCGATGAGAGGTCATCGCACGTGTTATTTTACGCTCCACATCCTTCGCAAAATGAATTCTTTGTCCCTGTACTCGAGTGGAAAGGCTTCAATGACACCCCTCTGACGGGGCAATTGCCCTTTCTTATCAAACCTACTGCAATCAGTACCACAGATTTCAGTATAGTGCGCAAATCCACAATCCACCGCCATCATGTTGATATGAAGGTCAACGGTCTCGTAAGTATTCATAGAGCTCTAGCCATGACTGTTTTCGATAGGACTTAAAACGACCTTAAAGAGAAATAAGATTGACTAAGACGTTTCTCTAGAAAACCGAAGTTGATGAGGACAACAATCCATTGGTCGCTATCAAAGAGCTACTGCAGACTACCATGACGTTGACTCAATTCGAAACTCTGACCAGATATGAGTACAATTGTCTCAATAAGCTGAGGACATCAGAGTTTGATACGCCACATCTGATCAAGGCAGCTGCATTCTACCGGAAGGACGACAGCCTTTTCTTTGTCTTTCCGTGGGCAAAGCACGGCAACCTCCTCAACTTCTGGAAACAAAAGTCCCCCGAAATTCATGATCAAAGATATGTCAGGTGGCTTTTTGGCCAGTTTCTTGGAATGGCCCAAACCGTCGAATCCCTGCACAATCCGAACGTCAACATTCGTCATGGTGACTTGAAACCTGAGAATATACTCTGCTTCGAATCTTCTGACTCGAATGCTGAGGGGAAAGACACCCCTTACGTGTTTGTCATCTCTGATGTAGGCTTGGCAAAAGAGCACGAGAGATTGACTCAATTCCGTTCTCGGACGAAGCAACCGGGGGGCGGAACAATGGTCTACGCTGCCCCAGAAATGGAAATGCATGAGAATCGGGCCACATCACGAAGATACGACATATGGTCTTTGGGATGCATATATCTTGAGTTCATCATATGGCTGCTTTACAAATTTGAGGGACTGCAGGAATTTTCCAAACAAAGGAACGGAAAGTTCTACAGAATCCAAGACAACACAGATGCCCTGCGGCCTGGGGGCATAGTGAAGACTGCAGAGCTCAATCCAGCGGTCTCACACTGGATCTCGCACGCGATCAAGTCTTCTCGAACTGCACCAAACGAAGACAGTGCAATAAGCCGCTTATTGTCACTCATTGCAGACCGCCTTCTCGTTATTGATGCCAATCCCGACTACACCGACCTGAAATCAGCAGATAACGATGAAGCCATCTCATTGAGTCCAATTTCAAGCAGCCCGCCTTCACAGTTTGTTGACCAGCCAACTATCCGTGTTAGAAGAGCCTCGACGGATCTTGGAAGGAGAATGTCAACAGAGAGAGCGTATGCTGGAGAGATGTACGACGAGATATCTGAAATAATCAGACAAGCTCAGACAGGACAAATCAAATGGATCAACCATGGAGATTCGACGCTGCAAATACCAGATTTGCCACCAAGTCCTAGTCGACCAGCCCTCAGAGGTAATGAAGTGAGTACAGACTATGACCATTCTGCGGAGAGATCTGTTTCTGACGCATAGTAATAGTACGTAAGTTGAGTCGTATCGATAGCCGGATATAGTTGACAATAGCCTGCTCGTCGATCCAGCAGGTATGATTCAACCCCATTCAACACATGCAATCTTGATCCCGCCCTGGTCGCTTATGTAATTTCTAGTTTGTAAGTACGCAAAAATATGCCCCCTTGCATTTGCTTAGCACTAATAAAATCTGCAGCCGGTTCGTCTTAGTCTAAAGTAGTTTCCTTTTGTGTTTGTGATTGCTAACACTGCTTGATGTCGTAGATGGTATGCAAACTCCCCTCAAAACTCTCATTAAAGGAATGAGTGATTACTAAACTCTAATCAGCTCAATGATTTGTCAGAATATATACCGGATAAAGAGGCAGCCGCTGAGGTGGTGGATAGCTTTGCTCATCTGGCCTTGACAAATGAGCAGTCCAATCTTTGTAACCGCTGTCACCACTTGACAATCATTCCACATGCTGTCGTATTGGAAGCCACGATGAGTGCACTGAATAAGGAATCATCACATTGTGATCTGTGCAGGCTTCTGTGCCACGTTCTGAAGGATAAAGCCACAACACCGAATGATCTCTTGCGCTTTTTCAGGGTTGGTTCAACTATCCGAGTTAACAATCAGCAGTTACCCGCCATTCTCTCGCTATACGCTTTAGCAGGCAAGGAGAGATTGTACAATGCCAACATCCAGCTTGGTCATCCGAAGCTCCCAGATGCGGGCGATGCGAGACATGTTAGCGTTCTGACTGGGTGGTTACGGAATTGCGATCGCGATCATGAATGTATGCCTCTTGGTAACCAATCATTTTTGCCAACACGACTCCTCGATGTCAACTTCAGTGCGACAAGCTGTCGCCTGATTTCCGACACGAACCAGCTCGGTCAGAATTCCAAGTACCTGGCCTTGTCTCATCGATGGGGCACTCATCCCGATCCTTCTCTGGCTACGAAAATCGTCTGCACCTATGAAACGAACATACAGAGGCTAGCTGAGGGAGTCGAGGACTCGGATTTCCCGCCGCTCTATCAAGACGCAATCAGCGTAGCTAGGAAACTGGGCGTACGCTACTTATGGATCGACTCACTGTGCATCATTCAAGCGGAGCCAGGAAACCCGAACGACAGAGATCAGGGACGAGATTTTCTGAGAGAAGCAGGCAAGATGGAGCTTGTTTTCTCTTCCGCATACGCAACCATTGCTACAACTTGTGCCGGGTCACCTGCGGAACACTTCCTCAAACGCCGGCCCAAACGACAGTTTGCCACTATTCCGACCGAACGTGGCCCATACTACCTGGCTGAAGTGATTGACAAGTTTTCCGAAGATGTCGATCGGTCGGAACTCAACAGCAGGGGATGGGTATTTCAGGAGCGTGCTCTTTCTCGGAGAACAATCTACTTTGCTGAGAAGCAGACGTACTGGGAGTGCGGGGAGGGTGTGCGATGCGAGACACTGACACGAACAGAAAAGTAAGTCAAAACTTCCCCTTCTCCCAGCAATGTGACTAACGTGACTTGACCACCTCTCTCAGCACCAAAAGCTCTGTCCTCGGCGATGCCAACTTTCCGTTTGCCCTGCCAGACTTCGACAAAGGCAAACGTATCAAGCTCTACCAAACACTCTACGAACGATATACCAGACTGACCTTTACGTATCCCACCGACCGTCCCATCGCGATCAGAGGCTTGGAGACCCGACTCCTACGTGCTCTTCAAACCTCAGGCGGATACGGCGTATTCCAGCTGTATCTCTGCCGAGGTCTGCTCTGGCAACGTGAAGGGCCGAGCCTGACGCGAATTGACTTCTCCAAGAGCCCCGCCAGAAATGCGTACGAGTTTGTGCCCTCCTGGTCGTGGATGGCATACGACGGCCCAATACGATACATGGAAATTCCCGCTGCAGCCGAGTGGGCGGCCTGGAAATCTGATGTCATATCTCCATGGGAGTGTGGTGGTGCAGACGACGGAGCAGAGCCTTTTGAGCTGAGAGTACTTGTCCGTAATGTTGTAGGCTTTGCGCCGGGAGGTCGTGTCTTGCTGGATGAACCGAACCGCACATCCAAACTCGACTTGAGGTGTGTTGTGGTTGGCTCAAAACGCGCGTCTGATCCGATGCAGGCAGAGGTGTACTATTCGCTCATCGTAACGATCCTGGATGGCGAGGAGCATATTTGTCAGAGGGCCGGGGTTGCGTTTCTGGAAAGGCGCCATATCGACTGGCAGAGCCAAGCAGTAGCGATGCGTGTTCGCTGAAGGATTTCAATACGTTCGATGGAAAGTGATTGCTTTCGTACCTGCTTCATGACTACTAGTTAGGAGACTGGATAGAAAAAGAGAAACAAACAATGCTCTCCCAATTGAATCGGCAACATACCTAGGCACGCTTGTGATACTGGTTGTTGCCTGCTACAGGGCTCCAAGTTTCAAAGCAATGCTTCATAACGATATCAACTAGCTTAGACTACCAGCTAGGGACATGGGTTCAGAAATCAGAGGTCCTCGTCAAATCGAAATGCATCTTGAGTACAATATCAAACCGGAAAAAGGGGATGAAGTTTCGTGGTCTGGACATTAATATCTCATTCAACTGGCCGACTTGGCAGGTTGATATTGATTGTTATCCGCTTTCAAGTATCGCAGAAGGCCGATCCTGGAAGCGAGCGGTTCAGATCGTCCTAGGTGTCTGCGGTCATGTGGTAGGTGTCGAAGACTGTTTTGAATATTGCAGTCCTCATTAGGCACACCACTGCGACAAAACTTCAGTGAATGTGGCTTATGTATTTAGAGATCGACCCGGCATCAGTGACAATGACGGTGGATGCAACATTACGCATACGTAAGATGTGATGCAAAATAGACCTGCTAGGAGGTCGGAGAATGAGTATATCACCGGCGACATCCAGGACACTTCACTCATCGAAACCATACTGGATCGTGAAGCAAGATTAGACGAATACAAGCTTATTTTAGAAAGACTAGGGCTTGGGCTCGCCTAACAGTATGCAAGTTCGCCAATTACTTGTGCCAATGCCCAGTTGAGTTGCCTGCCTATTCGGTCAGCCATAGAGTCTTTGGGCGGGTGATGATGCTGGCCCCTGGTTAAAGGCGCATGTATGGCAAATTGCACCCAATATATTCTGATTAGCATTTCGCCCTGACACAGGATACACCGTTCTGTACGGGACAGAAATGAGCGAATCGATTCGATCAAGAACTCAATCTGCAAACATAACAATACGGAAACTTCGAGAAGATCTACATCTAGGCAGCTAGACTTAAGTTGAAGGTTAATGCTCTGCTCCTTTTCTCCAGAAATGTTGGTACCTAGGTGGAGGATGCAGGATTATTAGCAAGCTTCTAGACTGAATCTTTTTTGATTGCTGGACCTCGAGACAATATGTTTGCCCATGCAAGAATGGGTAGACGTCAGGTAGAGCGTCCGTCCCATCCTTGCATCAAGGTTTCCTCGCTTACATCGGCTGGATCCGACCCCTTAGCCATTAACAGCCCACGAGGCGTTTCTTTCAGACATGCCAAGCCTAAATTGATCAAACAGAAGCGACAATTCTTATTGACGTGGACGATGAGGCTCCACCATAACCAAACGGACAAGGATGGCCGGGGGCGCGTATACAGCAGTCTTGTTGCAACACTCGTCGTCAGCAGCAGTCATCCCGTGCATGATTGATCACGCACGAGTCATCATCATCGGCGGTTGTCTCGCGATACACAGTGACTGCATATGTTTGAAGAAGATTGAATCCGCGCGACAGAAATCTTGGCGCTGTAGCGTATCGCTGGTTTCTCCTAATTGTAAGAGGGGCCATGAGGTTGTCTCCATCTTTTGACCATTACTTTTTTTTTTTGGGCATACATCGCACCGATGTAATCGAGCTAGCAACTGAGCAGCAAGCCTGCGTTGCACTCGGGGCGCCCGCCAGTTTGTTCGATTCATCAAGCAGTGGACATGATAATCTCACTCGCGAGACTGTTTCCAGACTTCTAGGTGACGCCAATGCTAAGAATGGGTGGTTTCCCGAGATGGGTGGACCGAGGCTCTGGAAAGGGATCCTCTCTTTAAGGTCTTGGCAGTTTCGATCGTATTGCCGATCCCCGGGGTAGAGCCCGGGACGAACGAGCCTCAACCAGGGCTGAGCTTGGGATGTCGTGCAAGTGTCCGAATATCTTTCTTTGCATTTTGCGCGGAAGGGAGAACATGGCGAAACCAGTGGATGGGTAAATCTGGATTGGCGTTCTAATCCGACCGGTAAAAATATTCTAACTTGAGAGGCTTTCTACTCTACATCATGCATCGTCGTGTCTCGTCCTACTACTATGTCTGCTGCCTCTGTATAACAAATCGTATACTCGTATATCGCCAAGGAAGCTTAAACGCTCCCAAAAATGGGACATAGCACTCGCGCCAATGGCCGTTGGTCGACCAATTCTCTAGGAATTTGGTTGCTCCGCTTTTCCTCACCGTTGAGTGGCGCGAAACCAAACACACTGTTGGCTGGAGCGGGCCAAACCCCCGTCGTCCTTCATCTATTTGGTGGGCACTATAATCAGCCAAGGCCCCTGAATATACAGAGCCGCATCGTATGCTGCATCTCGACCGACTGACAAAGCACATGGGCATGGAGTCTGGACGCTATGTCATTGGGGGGAAAGGGAATCGTGGGATTCGAAGGAGTCGCGAGTAGTTATAAAGCAGGTCTGGGAATGTTAATTCGAATGCTCTTTTTTCCTTTTACGCTCTTCAAGCTCGTCCAGCAGTGTTCTTTTCACCATCTTGTTTCTCGCTCATTGGCAGTGCCATACATTCATTCATTTCTAACATTCTTTACCATTTCACACTCATTTTAAGCCAAGGCCTAGACGCCACGCAAAGACAAACATCAAGACCACTACTATCACTATAACCAACAAATCCTTCTTCAAGATGCGTTACTCCGGAGTTGCTACTTTGGCTTTTGCCAGCGGTGTTGCCGCCCACTCTCGCATGTACAGTGTCTGGGTCAACGGCGAGGACCAGGGTGATGGTCGTGGCACTTACATCCGCTCCCCTCCTACCAACGACCCCGTCAAGGACCTCACCTCCAGCGACATTGCCTGTAACGTGGCCGGTGCTACCGCAGTCAGCGACTTCGTCTCTGCCGCCGCTGGCGATACTCTCAGCTTCGAATGGTACCACGACTCCCGTGGCGACGACATCATCGCCAGCTCCCACTTGGGTCCCATCATCACCTACATTGCTCCCTACACTGATGGCATGGACGGCACTGGTTCCATCTGGACCAAGATTGATGAGGAGGGTTACGATTCCAGCAGCGACAAGTGGGCCGTTGACAACCTGATCTCCAACTCGGGTAAGAAGGAGTTCACTGTCCCCTCCGGCCTGGCCGCTGGCAAGTATATGTTCCGTCAGGAGATCATTGCCCTCCACGAGGCCGACACCGCCTACTCTGCCAACTCGGCCCGTGGTGCTCAGTTCTACCCCTCCTGTGTCCAGGTCGAGGTCACCGGCTCCGGTACCGCCTCCCCCTCTGAGGACTTTGAGCTCCCCGGCGGCTACACCTACGACGACGCCGGTATCGTCTTCAACATCTACTCCTCGTACACCTCGTACGACATCCCCGGCCCCGAGGTCTGGGACGGTACCAGCACTGGTGAGAGCTCCAGCTCGGCCACCACCTCGTCGGCTGCCGCCGCTGCCTCGACCACCCAGGCCGCCGCCACTAGCACCGCTGCTGTCACTACCAGCGCTGCTGCCGTGACCACCACCGCCGCCGCCCAGACCACCCTCGCCACCTCGGTCAAGGCCTCCTCCACCACCACCGCTGCCGCTGCCGTCACCACGAGCGCTGCTCCCTCCGCATCCAGCTCTCCCTCCAAGTGCTCCAAGAAGCGCAAGGCCCGCCGCTCCAGCCACTAAGCTTCTTGATATAAGTGTACCATAGATGGAAAAGAGGGGGAAATAGAGGTGTTGTTCTTAGTGTAAAACTCTTCCTTGGTCAAGCTAGACTTGAGAACAGAAAAGCCATTTGGTTTGCTGGACTTTCTTCACTGTAAATATATTACTGTCTCTATAAATACATTGGATGGCACTTTAGTCATCCGGTCCTCAAATTTGCTCTGGTTCCTCAAAAATTGCTCTCAAACTTGCTCAAGGTTCCAAATTTCGCTCTAGTTATTACGTAGCTTGACAAGGAGTATCAACAAGTCGCTCAGTACTTTGTGAGGCGATGTGCAGTAGAGATCTTGGCAGTGCCCAGACTGTGGGAATCCCAACATGCACAGGCATTCATCACTGACTGGCACGTAGTAGGCTCCCCTCAGTCGTGCTAAAGATTTCTCTATGTTCAGATCAATGTTGATTTCACATTTTCATTTTCTTTGTGTCTGAAATTGTTGCCCAGCTAGTGCATTTACATATCAGAGATTGCCCAGATGCCTACCCCGAGCTGCGAATGGGTGATTAGAGAGTCGTGATTCTCCATTTTGAGAATTGTCCCATCTACGTTCATAGAGAGGGAAATTATCAAGGAAAGAAGTTGGAAAAAACTCTGAGTTGATTCTATTGAGCTACAAAAGAGATGTGCTGAAGAGCTGCCTGCCTGATATACTCGGGTTGGTGATCTACGGTGGGTACAATCTATGCCAGCGGGACAGATTGAGGTGCCTTTCTATTCTTATGTTCCCTCGGATGATTGTGGACAAGATCCTGATACCTGAAGAACGTGCCAATTTTCATTACTAGAACGTGTCCTGGAAGACCAACGACAGTCAACATACCTTTGTTCTCTTGATCTGGCATGGAGCCTTTCTCTTAAAGAGCATACTGAGACACGGGAGCTCGTTACATTTAACGAATCTCGTACTCGAAACACGACATACTTCCACCTTGAGTCAGGTACTTGCCTTGGAATCTCGAGGCGAGTCTCTTCTTTCCCGTACTAGATTACGAGATCGCGCGAGTAATATAGATACACAGATCATGGCCACCCCATAAATGGCCACAGATGGTAGTAAACAGCTCCCATTTAGCGCTGAGCTTGGGACAGAAGGCTCTGTCAATCAATATACTTTCGTTTACATTCAACACAATGTCATTTTTGTAGTTGTGTCTTCTAACCAGCCACGTGTTTTTGCAGTCACTGTTTTCGCTCTCGTTACGACTCAACAGCTGTATATCGATCAACATGAATATGCTGATAGCCATAATCCAAGAAGTGGACATATGAGATATCAAAAACACATGCTACATAGATAGTATGCCTTCGTTCGTGACCTTGGGCAGGTTCGTTTTAAAAAGGGAGGAATAGAAACATATATTACTGCACTGCTTAATGCATTCGTGAATTAAGGCAAAGAGTTTACATTGTGTATACTCTTTGAACTACGTCCATGTGACCTACTATTGGATGCTCTTGAATCATTGAGACATTGGGAGCATACTTTGAGGGCTTCATGATCACCATATTGTCCTGTAAAGACTCCCTAAGCTTGGCATTGGTTTTCCGACCAAACCAAAGCAAACATATACACTTGTGTGATTAGGTCATTTGAATTTACAAGTAAGCCCGTTTAGTGACACAGAATCTGAATGAGGTTATTACTGACAAATCTTTTCGTCAGTGCACCATCGCGGCTTACAGGCGATCAACTGCCAAAGGATTCGGTCTTGGATATTTACCTAGGCAACTTCTTGCTCGATAGTACGAGCTAAATGCTCTACTCTTCTCCAAACGTGAATGAATTAGAACAACCGAGCTTGCTGTGCTAACACCGAGGATCTCGGTCGACCGTTTGTGAATAATGATGGTGCCTTAATTACTATATTGAACTCTGTTTACCTACACCCCGTGTCAATGTAGTTGAGCGGCAGTTGGATGGTATTATGCACTTGTATCCAATCGCATCCAGAGAAGGCAGCAGACCTTGCACACGTCTAAAAGATTCTCCAAATCAAGTCACTAGGACAAATCAGTTGTGCCGAAAGGGAAGTCAAGAAGGTGCCGCATCTCATACAACTGCTTGAATAGATTCAATGTGTGCAATTTCGGAGTAAGTGTGGTTATCGGACATGATTGACGCAGCTGCAGTATAAGATCGTTTTGATAAGATGCTGCGGTAATGGGAAGCCAAGCTGTCGATTTTCTGTATTCATCCATCGGATGTTGGCGTGGGGGCATCTATGCCCTATATGGAAGATCGAGACATTGTTGAGAGCTGTCATTGCGACTTCATTGCATTTCATAGCTTTTCTCAAAAGACGGATCAACCATACCCTCTAGCGGACCAAATGCGACCTTAGCTTGTCGTTGAAGTCCCAAAAATGGTTGAGTATAGCCTCTGATATACCCGAAACAGGCAACCCAGTATACTCGCCTCCAACCACCGAGGAGCTGATGCGACGCAACCGACTCAAGATACCCATATCTTACGGGAGTTTCTCAGCAATGACAAGAATTAGGCAATTGCTCACAATGATAAGGTCTCATTGACTTGATGCATTGCCGTCTATCGCCATCGTTCTACTATCTCTTTGTGTGCATTGACTTCATAGGGCAGGACAGATACTAGAGGATGTCAACACCCCGGATCCGAACAAGAGAATCGAGCGTACGGGATCAATGAGACCTTCAAGCTGTTTCACATCATTGTGACTCAACATCTGCGGCCCAAAGATTCAAGTCAGCTCGCTACGTCCCTGGAGCCGAGCTCATTTAGGCAGGTGCAAGGCTCTCTCCGATCAAGCGACGAGGACTGTGAGGCTCTTTCAACGCAGATTCTCGGGCGAGCGTTGAGACCAGAACCCTGCGCCCAGCGTGGAGATCCCTGTGGGTTTTGGTGCGGCTGTTGGACATCACAAGCCCAAGCGAGGGCCCGAGTATAGATTGAATACCGAGGAATGTAACGCGACGCTAGCGATACAGGGCGGACGGGGACATGACACTGTGGTTGCGTAGGTAGGTAGATCATCACAACAACAACAATAAAGCGCCGACACTTGTATTATCCCCCCTGCTTTGAAACGAGAGAAAGCTAACCAGTCGGACCCACTTATGCAACGCACCCCCTTTTGCAACAGGATTCCCCGCAAAACAGTGATTTTTCAATCTTTTATAATTAATTAACGAAAAATGGTAAAAATAAACGGAAACCGTTATTTTAGA